TATTGAAAGTACGAAATCCATTATACATCTCTACAACTTCAGCGCCTGGTTGATTTCAGTGTGCAAGTTCAAAATAAAGCTTTTAAGAAAGAATACATTTCATTATCAAAGTGGTAAATTTCAACCAAGGAAAAACCATCATTTCTTTTGTACCAACCTAATATTTGGCTTATAAGTCTTGAATCCAAGCATTTTGCATCTGTGTTGAAGGTAAATTAGTGTATTGTTTTCTTTTATGTTTTATATTTATATGATTTTGGAATTGGAGCAATACTTGCTTTATAAGATAAATTTGGAAACATTTCTTTGTGGAATAGTTTTAGGAGTATTGGTATTGGTTCTTTGAAGGCCTGGTGGAATTCAGCAGTGAAATCCATCTGGTCACAGGCTTTCCTTATCGATATATTTAGCTTAGTTATAGTCTTTGGTTCCAGTATGCTAAGTCCTATGCATCTAAAATATATCGATTTATTCCAGGTTTTCAAGGTAGTTTGAATTTAATTTTCACAATATTCCTTAATGTTCCACTGGATTTCAATATTATTTATTATAATATTTCCATTTGGGGTATTAGGTAAAAGGCACTATGCCAGTACATTGAGCATTTTAATAATTAGTATTGTTGTTTAGCATTTCAGTCATTGGATTCAGGTATTAAAAAGTCATAAAAATTGGAGGCTGTCACATTGCATTATATTTTTGTGTTTCTTTGTATCTATTACTATGTATCTCTGAGTAGATTTTGTCTTTCCCCCTCTTATTTAAAACTAATATTTTCATACAGTATATTTGATCATATTCATTTCCTTTCCCCACTTCCCCTCTGATCCTACTTCCATATTCACCCAACTTCATGTTCTTTCTTAAACAAACAACAGTAATAACAAAAAAGGCAAACAAAACTAATAAAAAAATACCAAAACAAAACTTCCCTAAAGTGTGATTGTTATACCCAGTGATGCACTGCTTAAGAAAACAGATTTTTTAATCAGGTATGTTGGTGTATGCCTTTAACCCCAGCACTTAGGAGGCAGAGGCAAGTGGAACTCTGAGTTCAAGGCCAGCCTGGTGTACAAAGAAAGTTCGAGGACAGGTAGAGCTCTTACACAGAGAAACCGTGTCTCGAAAAACCGAAAAAGAAAAAGGATTTTTTCACTTTCCTAGCAGGTATCAGTTCCATAGAGATTCATGGTTAGGTGTGGTACTTTGTATTCAAGTCCTCTTGTGCTGAGATTTTGCCTCATTTAAACCTGTGCAGATTTTGTGTCCTGCCACAGTCTCATGATTAAAAAGTAGGTTACCAAAGAAAATGAAGAATGAAATCACAGAGAATTAGAGATACTTCTTTTCTGCCCATTAACATTGGAATCTTCAGTTTTGAGGGGAGGGGAGGACTCCTGGGGTAAGGTGTCTTTTATTTCCCGCCGCCATAGATACTGTACCCTTGATAGGTATGTGGTCTGAAGGCTAGACCTATCAAGGGTACATTTTCAGTGGCACAGCTTCATTTACTCTGAAAGCTTGCCGTTTTGGATTTAGGCACTATCCCCAAAGAGCTTTGAGGCTGGTGGGCTGGCAGGATCCCACTAGCTAGAGACAATGACCCCCAATTGCCTCTGAATGGAACAAGCAATCGGAACACTGTTCCTTCATTTGAGAGGGTGAACAGAGATAACTAGGCATTTTGTCTGTAGATCTGAGTACTGTCAGATGTTATCCAGCAGTAAACTTTTGGGTGAGAGGAAGCTTCTCTAAAACTGATCAAGCCACTGGACGTAGCAGCAAACCACAAGCAATAGGTTGTGTCTTTGAATGCTAAGAAATAGGCAGTTCATGGGCTGAGAGCGCTCTATCCCCATGATTATATACCGATGATGAGGCTCACTCTTCGCTTCTGTTGTGTTTTGTTTTATTTTTAAAGAAATGTCACCAATGTTATTGATGCTCTAGTGGATGATATTGTAACCTAGTGGACATGAGCAACTGATTAAAAAGTGGCTTTATTGTGAGGAAATTTAAGGACTATTATAACAACTTTGTTTCTCTTTCTATGCAAGCACAAAAGTGATGTAGATAAAATCAGTCTTAATAGATTTGTCAGTAAGTTTAAAATACAGTCTTAGTGTTGAACAAGTAGGTGATACCAATTGTGTTTTATTTTGACTTAGTGATATGTATAGTAGTCTGTTTGAAAAAAAATAAGACTATTGAGTTGTTTTGTTGGGCCCTTGATTAGGAGTAGATTTATGTTTAGTTTCACATGGAAATCTTCTTTTGTTTTGAAATACTTGGATTCAGCCCCTTCCCCCTTATTGTCTTGCTGGTGTTTTTTGTAATAAACCATCTTTACTTTTCCTAGTTTTGTGAACTATATCTTTATAAGGGATCAATTTAGAAAATTGTCCGAATACTGTTTTGTTTTGTTTTGTTTTTTTGTTTTTTGTTTTTTTTAATTTTATTTTATAATTTAATTTAATTTTACATATCAGCCACGAATTCCCTTGTTCTCCCCCTTCCCGCACCCCCCCTCGCCTTCCCCCCCAGCCCACCTCCCATTCCCATCTCCTCCAGGGCAAAGACTCCCCCGAGGACTGAGATCAGCCTGGTAGACTCAGTCCAGGCAGGTCCAGTCCCCTCCTCCCAGGCTGAGCCAAGTGTCCCTGCATAAACCCCAGGTTCCAAACAGCCAGCACATGTACTGAGGATAGGTCCCGGTCCCACTGCCTAGATGCCTCCCAAACAGATCAAGCTAATCAACTGTCTCACTTATCCAGAGGGCCTGATCCAGTTGGGGGCTCCTCAGCTATTGGTTCATAGTTCATGTGTTTCCATTTGTTTGGCTGTTTGTCCCTGTGCTTTTTCCAACCTTGATCTCAACAATTCTCGCTCATATAAACCCTCCTCTTTCTCGTGAATTGGACTCCTGGAGCTCCACCTGAGGCCTGGCTGTGGATCTCTGCATCCGGTTCCCTCAGTCATTGGATGAGGTTTCTAGCATGACAATTAGGGTGTCTGGCCATCCTATCACCAGAGTAGGTCAGTTCGGGCTGTCTCTCGACCATTGCCAGTAGTCTATTGTGGAGGTATCTTTGTGGATTTCTGTGGACCTCTCTAGCACTTTGCTTCTTCCTATTCTCATGTGGTCTGACAAGCCCTTATCCAAACTAACCAAAAGACAGAGAGAGCATCCAAATGAACAAAATCAGAAATGAAAAGGGGGACATAACAACAGGCAATGAGGAAATCCAGAGAATCATCAGGTCATACTTCAAAAACCTCTACTCCACAAAACTGGAAAATCTAAAAGAAATGGATAATTTTCTGGATAGGTACCACATACCTAAGTTGAATCAAGACCAGATAAATTATTTAAATAGTCCAATAACCCCTAAGGAAATAGAAACAGTCATTAAAAATCTCCCAAGCAAAAAAAGCCCAGGACCAGATGGTTTCAGTGCAGAATTCTACCAGATCTTCAAAGAAGAGTTAATACCATTACTCTTTAAACTGTTCCACACAATAGAAACAGAAGGAACATTACCAAACTCCTTCTTTTTTTTTTTTTTTTTTTTTTTTTTTTTTTTTTTTTTTTTTTTTTTTTTTTTTTGGTTTTTCGAGACAGGGTTTCTCTGTGTAGCTTTGCGCCTTTCCTGGAACTCACTTGGTAGTCCAGGCTGGCCTCGAACTCACAGAGATCCGCCTGGCTCTGCCTCCCGAGTGCTGGGATTAAAGGCGTGCGCCACCACCGCCCGGCACCAAACTCCTTCTATGAGGCTACAATTACCCTGATTTCTAAACCAAACAAGGATACAACAAAGAAAGAGAACTACAGACGGATCTCCCTCACGAACATTGATGCAAAAATACTCAATAAAATACTGGCAAACAGACTCCAAGAACACATCAAAACAATTATCCACCATGATCAAGTAGGCTTCATCCCATGGATGCAAGGGTGGTTCAACATACGAAAGTCCGTCAATGTAATACACCATATAAACAAACTCAAAGAAAAAAAACCACATGATCATCTCACTAGATGCTGAAAAGGCATTTGAGAAAATCCAACACCCCTTCATGATAAAGGTCTTGGAGCGATCAGGAATACAGGGAACATACCTAAACATAATAAAGGCAATTTACAGCAAGCCAACAGCCAACATCAAATTAAACGGAGAGAAACTCAAAGCAATTCCACTAAAATCAGGAACGAGGCAAGGCTGTCCGCTCTCTCCATACTTATTCAATATAGTACTTGAAGTTCTAGCCAGAGCAATAAGACAACATAAGGAGATTAAGGGGATACAAATTGGAAAGGAAGAAGTCAGGCTTTCCCTATTTGCAGATGACATGATAGTATACTTCAGTGACCCCAAAGATTCAACCAAGGAACTGATACAGCTTATAAACACTTTCAGGAACATAGCAGGATACAAGATCAACTCAAAAAAATCTGTTTTGTTTTTTAATTAGACTAGATAAATGCATGATTTATATACCTTTATATATCTGTTATATCTATATGTAGTTTGTATATTTTGTCCACTGGAGTAGGTTTATATTGCTGGAAGGTTGTCTTATGCAAAAAATACAATGTTACTATTCTTCTGAGAGCAGTCATATGTATAATGATTCTAAGAACACTCCTAAAACCTTAATTGGTCCACGCTACCTTGTTTTCCAGTTCCTTCTCTACTTCCATTAACAAGTTATTTTAGGTGATTTGAACTGTTCAAATACAGTCATTTAGCTGGGCTGTGATGGTGCATGCTCCTAGCACTTAAAAGGCAGAGGTAGGCGGATCTTTGTGAGTTTGAGGCCAGCCTGGTCTACAAAGTGAGTTCCAGGACAGCCAGGAATACACATAGAGAAACCCTGTCTCAAAATACCTTTAAAAAATAAATAAATAAGAAAGAAAGAAAAAATATTATCATTTTATACTTAAATTTGATGTTTCATATGTTGGATAGTTTACACTATCAGTAATTTTTTTCCTTTAGAAATCAATGTGGACAGAACATAAATCACCTGATGGAAGGACTTATTATTACAATACTGAAACAAAACAGTCTACCTGGGAAAAACCAGATGATCTTAAAACACCTGCTGAGGTAAATATTTGAAGACTAAGAATCAGGACTGTTAAGTAGCTTGGGTATATTCCTTAGAATTTTATGTTAAGCTATCCAAAGAGCAGTTCTTACATGTCACAAGAGTTAATAAAGACTTTAGGTTTACTATCGTCCTATGTTTAGATGTGTTTTAAAGAATAAATTTGAAGGGGAAAGCAATTTTCCTCAATGTAGTATGACGCATGTAATTTTAAAAATCATGTGAATAGTTCCAGTTAACCATGGGGTTTGATGTAATTAAATTGCCTATAAAATACTGTCTTGTCTTAGAGTAGAATATTTTCTCTTTGTAGAAATGCTTCTGAAAAGGTATTTATTTTGTATTATACATTTCACCATTCAAAATAGATAAAATATGACACAGTTAAGGTTGAAGCACTAAATTAAGCAAGCAGTATTGCAAATGTGTAGTAGTTGATGTGCTTAGGAAGAGGTGACCTTTTCACTGAAGAACAATAAGTTTTACCTAGCCAGTGGTATTCCATTTTTAACTTCTTTCAAGTAAAGAACTTTAAGACAGTAACTATTTTTCATTCACTCCCCCTCAAGTCATCTAATATGCACACAGTGTTTGAGAAGGAAAGTTGATAGATAACACTTCTTTATTTCTCGTTCATAGGCACACATGTTCACACAGATACTGAGATTTAAAGGCACTTTAAATTGCTCTCGTGTACATTAGCTTTATGTACTGGTTTTGTCCTATCTTTATTATTTCCTCACGTTCCTCACATATATAATTCATATAAAGTTGTGATAAATTATTGGCTGTGAAATTAAAATATTAGCATGGATGAATCAGATTATACTTTTCTCCAAATTTTCTTTTTGTCTTATTTGCATAAATAGATGAACACTCCATTCAGTAATTAGGGATGGCAGTTTTTACCTATAGTGAAGTGGTAAAGCACACTTTGAGGTAGATCTGCTTGGATTTGAAGCATCCACGTGCTTCCTAATAAGTATATTGCCTTTGACAAGTTACTTTCTCTTTGAATAATATTGGTTAATGGAGAAGACTCTAAATTCTGTAGTGTTATTATAAAGGTTAAATGGTATAGTCAATAATTGACAACTTTGATATTTAGAGTTACACAGGTAGACAATATCTAATGAAAATGGGTGTGGATGGTCACCAATGCTGAATATGTTATTTGTTGAATGTTTTCCCTTCTTTAGCAACTCTTGTCTAAATGCCCGTGGAAAGAGTACAAATCTGATTCTGGGAAGCCTTATTACTATAATTCTCAAACGAAAGAGTCCCGCTGGGCCAAACCAAAGGAACTTGAGGATCTTGAAGGTAAGATGGGAAAAAACTCTACTGGGAAGTTGTTGCCTATATGCCAGTCACCTGGAAACAGTCCTCCCTGAATAGGGCTATTCAAATAAGGCCTTATTCTTTTTTAAAAAAAAATTTAAATTGTCTGCACAGTTTTAATGATATAACAGTTTTATGGGCTCTTTTATTTTGTTGTTGCTCTAGATCTCAGTTCTATAGATTTTAAATAGACTTTATTTGATTTGATTCCATTGAAACTAGGATACCAGAATACCATTGTTGCTGGAGGTCTTATTACAAAATCAAACCTGCATGGTGAGCTGCTTTGATAATTCATTTTCTGTTATATTTAACATTTAGAGTATGTCACTAATTTTCACTAACCTTGAATTGATAAATCTGCAGTGAAAGACATTAATTCAAAGAATCACTTTTATTTAAGAGCCATATTATAAATGAGCTTGCAGTTTTTAAAGTTGTACTTTGGTATTTGAAATAAACATGAATGTTGAACAAGTTCACATATAAACTCATTCTTCTGAATGTTGGTGCATACATGGTACATGTGATTAAGCTTAATGACGGTGGTAGTTACTTTTTTCATATATTATCAGTATTAATACTGATTTCATTTTAGTTGTCATGAAAAATAGTACTAATATGTTTTTATCTAAAAGTTGAGATAAATAAATTTCATTTAAGGAAGATAGTTTTCAATATTGTCAGTTACTTGAAACCTTTGAAAGATTTAGAAAAGATTGTTATCTAGCATAATACTCAGGGCATAAAATAGCGGACATTGAATAAGAATTGAGTTACTTTATTGTCCTTAAAATACAGTCTTTTATCATAAACTGTTCTAGATTAGCTAAGCAAAAGGTTATGTGAGGGTTTTTTTTGCATTTTAATAGATTTTCAGAAATATTTTCCTCATTAGAGTGTTAAGTTTGTTAAATGTGTTCATTAACTTAAGCTTATATCATTGCTTACATGGAGCACCTCATTCCCTAGTGATAAGAAATTAAAGATAATGTGTCTTACCAGCAAGTTTAAAGTTTACCTGAGCCTAGAATAAAAACAAATATTGACTATATTGAGTGCTCAGATCTTTAAAGCTCTATCTAAAGTGTCTGAGCATGAACTAATAATAATGTTATCAATAGAATACCAAATTGCTCACTTACAGAGTGCCAAGCTCATTTCTGATATGACTACAAATTGTTGGTTTGCATAGCTGCTTATTTGCTTGTCAGTGCTAGTATGAAAAATGGGCTGGAGTTTCATGAGTTTGATACCAATTTAAATTTTTATCTTTTAAAAAATAGTCTCATTCCTGGAGGCAATACTGTTGTATTCCAAACTTATGAATATTTTCAGAGAGTGATTACAAGGCCAAGCCTTTGGAAGCATCAGCATTGGAAAAGATTACTAAACAGTTGCTGTTGTCAAATGTTTCATTGTTGTAATGAGGCTTTGATGAAACTAAGGCAAACCCTTGCTCTTTAAAGTGAGTTTTAAATTGCTTTTCAGATGGTAAATTAAATCTTACGAAATTATGGTACTTTCATCTCCTTTTAGAGTGTTTTTTTCCAGTGGTTATATTTAAAAACTAGTTGATGACTTTTCTGTTTTCTTTAATAGCTATGATCAAAGCTGAAGAAAGCAGGTAAGCAATTTTAAAATTCAGTAGGGTTTATAAATTTGGCCATTTCCATAGCATTCTTGTTTTAGTTGTCCACTTTTTAAAAAGATACTATTTAACAGGGTTAAGCTAATGGTTTGATGTCTTTGGAAGATTTTTACAAGGGGGTGGAATTTAAAAGCAAGTATATTTACTGAAGTGTATGCTTTGCTAGACAAGTAAGTACTTTCATATGGAATGAATTGTTCATGAATTAATAACTTTCTCCATTTGAGAATTAGTAGAATATTATAACTATATATATCCTCTATTATACTAAATTCCCTTTTTGTGGTCTTGAGGAATAGACCTAAGGTTTTGCACATTTTAGCACTCAACTAGTGATCTATATACCTCCAGCCTACAAAGCTTTCCTTTAATTATTGAAATGTAGATTTAAAGTTCTTATGAAAATTTTGTATGTCAAATAAGATGTTATACAAAGTAACAGATTGAGATTTTCTTGAAATAATTGGACATTAGGAAATTACAGTCATTTATATCAATGTTCATTTTATGTTATTGTGCAAGTTTACGAAATCAAATAATGGTAGAAGCTGGAAGCGATAACACATAATGGTAATTCCAGTTCTGCTCAAGGAGGCTAAGGCTACATGAATCTGAGCTCAGCATAGGCAGTATGGCAAGATATTCTCTAAAACAAGCATAAAATTAATATCTCATTCTGTGATCTTTTTGGGTGATTTTCTAGTTTATTGTCAATAGATTTGTTTAGCCCTTTGATTGTTCCTTTAGTGTTATTTTAAAATTGACTTTATTTAGCTTTACTGTAAAGTATTGAAATGACCAGTTCTCTCTCTCCCTCCCCACTTCTATCCATCTTATTCCCTCTTTTCCTCCTTCTTCCTCCCTTTTACTGTATAGCAAGCAAGAAGAATGTACTACAACATCAACAGCCCCAGTTCCTACGACAGAAATTCCTACCACTATGAGTACCATGGCTGCTGCAGAAGCAGCAGCTGCTGTTGTTGCGGCTGCTGCAGCCGCTGCAGCAGCCGCTAATGCCAGTACTTCCACCACACCTACTAATACTGTGGGAAGTGTTCCAGTTGCTCCTGAGCCTGAAGTTACTTCCATTGTTCCTACTGTTGTCGATAATGAAAATGCAGTAACTATATCCAATGAAGAACAAGCACAGATTGCTAATACCACAGCCATTCAAGATTTAAGTGGTGACATTTCCAGTAACACTGGAGAGGAACCATCTAAACAAGAAACTGTAACTGAGTAAGTTTAGTAACTTAGACTTCTGAAAGTCAGTGCCTGACTTAAACTATAAGAACTTGTTAATTTAGTCAGTGAACTCAAATCAAGGCAAAAAGGAAAAAACATCAGCAGTTTACATACTTGCAGTATTTTAAATACAGGCTCGGTATTGGCTCTTGGTTGGTTTACTCTTTAGTGGGGTGTGTCTGTGTTCCTTCTCTGTTTCCTGTGCTCAGGCAGCACAGCCAAAAGTACTGTAGATGGCTGTCTGTCGAACACAGGTGAGTTTGAGAAGGTGAGAAGCTCCACCAAATACAGAGAATTAAACTGGATTTCACTCCTTTTTGGTTATTGGTGTGTTTGGTTTTCATTGTAAATAAATTGAAAAATACGAACAGCTTTGTTGAAAAATGCCTCAGATAAGAAAGAGAAGGCACTTTATAGAGGAACCACAAAAAGAAACTCACTTAGAATAATTGCAAAACTGGCTTTTTTCTACCGTATGAGCCAAGATACACAAAAAAGGAACAAATGGACGAATAATCTGACCAAACACTCCTGTCCAGTTACTATTTAGTTCTACTGCCTCCGGCTCTCTACTCCTTACTGTTAGTGCTCCTTCTCTCTTGTTAATTTCACTAATAGCTGGGTAATGATTGAATATTGAGATGTTTAAAAAGAAATGAAATGGTACATTTGGAGGCAATTAAGAGTAAAGATCTCATTTTCTTTCTAACGTTGGCTATGCATATAGTTAAGCATTTTGGGTGAGTGTGTGTATATATACACACCAGTGTATATATATCAGAGATACTTTCTGTATCCATGAAGGTCAAATGATGGTATCTTACGATGTAAGCTTTGGGAATATCATTCTACATTTATGCTTGAACTTTTTGAACACCAAAATACCGAGATGCTCTAAATACCTTATGTAACTTGGTATGATAGTTACATGTAATTTGTGAAAATCCTCATATATATTTCAATTAATTTTAATGCATAATCCAAAATATGTTACGTAATCAAATCACTTCACAAATAATGGTAGATTTCTGTGTTCATCACAGATATGTTTTATATGATTATTTTCACTCTTGTATTAATGTGAAAGGTTAATTTACTTTTCATTGTTTTAAAAAGTTTTTTTTCCTTAAAAGCATTCTAGCATAGTTCATGAGTTATAATTTTGTAATAATTTTAATTAAGTTCTATGTAAGGACACTTAAAGAATGATATATATTATATACATACTACATTCTTGTCTCAGTACCTATTGCAGTGTCATTTCCATCTTTTGAACTACATTTTTTCAATTCAGTGGACCCCAAACAAGTAGTTGATAAATCTGTATTATATTGATTCTTTTTGAAGTCAGAATTTAGCAGTCTTTTCCACAGCTTGTCAATTAATATTTATTTGAGGTCTTCTGGTTCAAACAGTGACTTTGTACTCATGCCATAGTACAAAATCAGCCAAAAAGAACATATGGAATTAGCTAATTGCTGTATTCTATTAATACTATGTTTACAAAATTAACTAAGCTGGATTTTGTTAATTGATCACTTAGATTGTTCTGTACATCCTTTTTAGCTTTTTATGTACACAATCAACACCAGGTTTATTAGAGCACTAATGAAACATCTGAATAAATATAAGTCATTTATTAACTTGTAGCCTAATGACACAAGTCACCTTAGTGCAGTTCTGTGTGATGTTTTGACCTTTATACAGGGTCTTAAAATTGACACTGTAGAAAATCTGTAACTTTATGGCCTGTCTTCAGATAGTTGTGTTTTCAGGGTTTATCTAAGAAACTTCCTCTTAAAATTGTCAAGTTTTAGGTCAGCATCAAACAATTAAATGATTTTGTAAGCAGAAAATAGTTATCGAAGTTATTTCTCTCTCTAGTTTTACTCCTAAAAAAGAAGAGGAAGAGAGCCAACCAGCAAAAAAAACATACACTTGGAATACAAAGGAGGAAGCAAAGCAAGCATTTAAAGAATTATTGAAAGAAAAGGTATTAGAGACTTTTTAAGTATCACGTAATAATTTCCTAATAAATGCTCACTTTGGTGCCTTTATTTAAAATACTAATTTCTTGAACTGTTGTAACTGAAAACAAACTAAATTTATTGTGTTTTTATTGAAGAATGCTTTTGGAAACTCAACAAGGTATTATTTCACAATCATATTTTTGCCTTGATAGATAAGATTTTTTTATTTAAATTATTGCTTATCTTTTAGTTGATCTAATGAAAAAAATACTGTTTCAATTTCAGTGTGAATTTTCTTTTCAGTAAACAAGTATATATCACAAATTTGCTTCATTCTAAATGGTTTTAGACTATAAAAAAATCTGCAAAGGGGGGTGCTCGATATTTGCAGTGAGTGTTAAACTTGCTTTCCTATGATACCATTCTCTGTTGTATAAAATTTTGATTTTTTTCTTTAAATAATTTTCAGCGGGTACCCTCTAATGCTTCGTGGGAGCAAGCTATGAAAATGATCATTAATGATCCTCGGTATAGGTAATACAGAGATTTTTAAATTAACTTTACATTAATCTTAGGGCATTTAAAGTTGTGTAAAACAGTATAACTTTATAATAAGCAGCTGTTCATAGCTATGTAATAGCATAAACAGAGGTATTTTATGTGTGCTATTAGCCAAAAATCCAAAAGGCTTTTCTTATCTACAATTTGAGCACCTTGCTCCAAATGAAATTAGAATCATTTAACACTAGAATTTGCTGTTTAGAATAATTTTATATCTTCAATAAATTGCAGAAATTTTCTTAATACACACATCAAACTTTTTTCTAAAGCACTAACATTTGATTCTCCCGAGTCTTTATGTTTATTCGTGTATGATATTTTCTATTATTTAGTGCTTTAGCAAAGCTGAGTGAAAAAAAGCAGGCTTTTAATGCCTATAAAGTCCAGACTGAGAAAGAGGAAAAAGAAGAAGCAAGATCAAAATACAAAGAAGCTAAGGAATCTTTTCAGCGTTTTCTTGAAAATCATGAGAAAATGACTTCCACAACCAGATACAAGTAAGGTTTTTAATGATGTAGGCATTGTTTCTTTCCCCTATTGATTGTCATACTTCTTGATAACTCATTCAGAATAGATGGTAATGAAAGCAGCTGTGTAAATGAGGATGTGGCAGTTCTATAAGATAGCCAAAAAATCAGTAACTTAGAGACTCACCTAAGGTATTAATTAATAATATAATAAATAAACATACTACAGTAACTGTTACCTGTTCTGTAGTCTGCAGAAGGTGACTTGGGGAAAAGGCTATTTACTTACATTGCAAAACATTACCTAATGTGAATTGTCCTAAGAGAAAATAGAGGCATTTGCTCTTACGTTAATGTTTTATTGACTGTCACAAAGCTTTCCTGAGTAATGCATTTGTTACCTTAAACAGTGGAGGGAGTGATCATTGACTGCCTTTGGGGAAAAAAACCCACAATCTAAAATTGTACTGATGGTTTAAGAAAGTAACACTTGATTTCATAATCACTAGAAAAGCGGAGCAAATGTTTGGGGAGATGGAAGTTTGGAATGCTATATCAGAGCGTGATCGTCTTGAAATCTATGAAGATGTTTTGTTCTTCCTTTCAAAAAAAGAAAAGGTACTTTTTTAATTACCGATATTTCAACATTCTAAGATTTTTTTCTTTATTTTAAATGAGTAAGTTATAACTTCAGTTTTTTTGCTTAAATTCTTTAATGTATGTTGTACATCATATCTATTCATTGGAAGCTATGTTAAAAGATAAAATGAGTAACTGTTAAATCTTTTTTTCTCCTTATGTCAAACATAGTAATTACTGTTTAAATCATCATGGGTACTGATTTATTCAAATATTTATTTCTGTTAAATTATTTTGCATCTAGTGTTGAAGGATACATACATAAGTATTACTAAAAATTAAACATAGTTGAATGTCAGTGAAGACTTTGGTGTTCACATGTTGAGACTACACGGCACCCTCATTATAAATTGTGACTATACGGCATACTGGTCTGGGAAGGACATGGGTTTATGAAATGAGGATACAAAAACAGTACAATTTTTTGGATTCTGACTTCAAAGAGAGATGAAAAACTGAAGGAAAGGACTGCCACACATTCAGAAAACGCAATAACAAAATTAAAGGTGTTGATATGAAAGGTAGACACATAACATTTGACTTTTATCAGCTAGAATATAAAGGACTCTTAAGTAACTGTAATTCACATACCTTGTTTGAATGTTAAAAGAATTATTCAAACGTTTGTTGTAGGAACAAGCAAAGCAGTTACGAAAGAGAAATTGGGAAGCCTTAAAAAACATACTTGACAACATGGCTAATGTCACATATTCTACTACTTGGTCTGAAGCCCAGCAGTATCTGATGGATAATCCAACGTTTGCAGAGGATGAAGAGTTACAGAGTAAGAACAATAACTACATAAGAAAAATAGTGACAAGTCTTGCCCTTCAGTCACAGAATTATTCTCACTGTTTGTATGAAATCAGAGGAATTGCTCTTTTTATGTGGTCACTAGCCCAATTTTACACAAGTGATTTGTATTTCTGAAAAATTATTTTCAAATGAGTTGTTTCTAATTGAATTTTGATTTAGGGAAAATACTTTTCTAGAGATCTAAGTCACCTTTAACAGATAATTCTTGAAATTTGTAATGAGTCAACAATTGCAGATCACTGGTGTCTTCTAAACATGTAAGGCAGTTGCACTTAGGAATTCAGCAATGACTGTGACAGCAGTCACACCTGTGTAAGCCAAAGCCCAGCTTGGGGCTGGGAGTTGGCCTGGAAAGTCCACCCTAGAGAGAGAGCTACAGAGCTTCAGCAACTGATGGCTGCTGGAGAAGGGACAGGTTTCTCGAATGTAGCTCCTGATGAACCGACCACCCTCAAGTGGAAGACCATATAGCCAAGAAACTGTTGTTGATGGGTTTAAATAAGTGGGAGGAGGTGGGTACAACAAAGATAGCTGGAGAAGTGGGGAATATATCTGTGAAGAGGTGGGGGTGAATATGATCAATGCACATAAAGCTCTGAGAATTAATACAAATTTTTATATGTAAAATTATATGTAAATATAATAAAAATCTCTTTGGGATTAAGTAAAACATTTGCTCTGTTAGCCAGATTATTTTGTCATGTGCATGTGCTCTTTCCTTTGTTCTCTGTAGTATTTGAAGTCTTTTTCATAACTTGTGTCATTACAAGATACTATTTGAATTCAAGTACAAGTATTTTTGAACACTGAATTTGAAGTTTGTAAAGAGTTTAATACAAATGATTAAACTGCTTTCTTTGTTAATATTTTAAATTTACTTCTTTTTTTATCTGAAAAATACTTCAGACATGGATAAAGAAGATGCACTAATATGCTTTGAGGAACACATCCGGGCTTTAGAAAAGGAAGAAGAAGAAGAAAAACAAAAGACTTTGTTGAGAGAAAGGAGGCGGCAACGTAAAAATAGGGAATCTTTTCAGGTAATAGAAAAATGCCTTTTCTAGTTTAGTCATTGAACTTCAGCAAGGATCAAAACAGTTTTGAGGCACTTGTTTCCAGTTGGCCGCATAGGCTTTTGGACAGTATATGTTGAACTCTCTAACTTCTGTGTTTTAGATTTTGTTGTTGGATGTTTGAGGCAAGGGAATATAGTAGGCTGCAGCAGACATTATTTAACTTAAGTATAAGGTTTTAGCTGAGAAAAATATCATGAGGACCGAGTGGAAATAAGATGTGTAATGAGTGCTTTGTAGCAATTGATACACGGTTCCAAAAGAACATGCTGCAGTACAGTTTAGATGTGTAATGTAATTAAGCACTTATATGGGCATATAAATACTTTGAGGAAAGTAATATATTCTTTATGACTATTTTTAGATTTATTTTGAGTATGAGTCTTATTTCCTGCATGTATGTATGTACCATGTACTTATCTAATGTCCAGATCCCCAGGAACTGGAGTGAGAGGTGACTTTGAATTATTATGTGGGTGTTTGGAACAGAAACTGGGTCCTCTTCAAGAGCTGCATCTGCCCCTAACCACAAAACCATCTCTTTAGTCGCCACACTTGTTTTTTAAAAAAAATTGATCAAATTTGAAATATCTGAGGGTTACTATTTAAAAACAAAAACTATTTTATAAGAAATACATATATTCATTCTTTAGCCTCATCATTTGAGAACAGGTAATTCCAGTCATTTTAGTAATCTTTCATTTATAGTTACATACATACACAATATTTTATGGACTTTTTGTTTTTTAACTGGAAATGGTGTTCTATATTAAGGGACACACAACTGAAGAATAGAAGGTTACTGTAGTGTTTGAAAGATCCCTTTCTTTGGATGATTTGTTTATATTTATTTGTGGTGTAAAAACATTTTTACTCCCATCAAATAGCAAATATTCTTTGTACCTAAACATATTAGATAACAAACATTTTTTAACACGTTTCAATGTTATATTTCTAAAATGATTTTTCAAATGTATTTGTTTCCAACAGATATTCTTAGATGAACTACATGAACATGGACAACTACATTCTATGTCCTCTTGGATGGAACTGTATCCAACTATTAGTTCTGACATTAGATTCACTAATATGCTTGGTCAGCCGGGTGAGATTCTTTTCTTTTCAAACCTAAGATAGTAGTTGGAATGGATTGGAAGATGGGGGGCAGTGGTTGGAAGGGGGTGTGTGTGTGTGTGCTTTATTTTATGTTTGTTTTACAAACAAAAAGTAATTGCAGCTCTTGGTTAGAGCTAGCTTTTTGACTTCTTTAGTTTTTTCATTAGGATCAACTGCACTTGATCTTTTCAAGTTTTATGTTGAAGATCTTAAAGCACGTTATCATGACGAAAAAAAGATAATAAAAGACATTCTGAAGGTAAATAAGATACTTGTTCTTAACTATTTGAAAACATCAATTCATTTCTTGGAGTTCCATGTTATAACACGATTTCTGGTTTTATAGGATAAAGGATTTGTAGTTGAAGTAAACACCACTTTTGAAGATTTTGTGGCAATAATAAGTTCAACAAAAAGATCAACTACTTTGGATGCTGGAAATATCAAGTTGGCTTTCAATAGTGTAAGTTTGATTATTACAGCTTATTATTCATTTAAAAATTACTTAAAGTTGTATGCTAGTGGGATAAGGTACTGTGAATAGGATTTATGAGGTAAAGAAAAAAATGTATAGAGATGATGGACTGTCTTACCTTTTATTGTTATTGGTCAAATTAAAATATTTATAAATGTTGTGGTACTACTTTTCAGAACATTGAATTATTTGAAACAGGACTTATATTCTCATAACTTATATTCTCATAATTTAATATGATTTTTTGATAGTTACTAGAAAAGGCAGAAGCCCGTGAACGTGAAAGAGAAAAAGAGGAGGCACGAAAAATGAAAAGAAAAGAGTCTGCATTTAAGAGTATGTTGAAACAGGCTGCTCCTCCAATAGAGCTGGATGCTGTCTGGGAAGACGTATGTATACTTGTAAATTGTCCAGAACAGGAACTGTGCTTCACACTTGAAAGTAACCCTAACTTGTTTCGTGGGGACATAAATACACTAAAATTATTCATAATCCATACTATATGTCAAAAGTCAGCTGTGACTTGAATTTAGGAATAATTAAAAATTGAACAGCCACCACCACCTGGGGGCAGGATTTCTCTGTGTAGCCTTGCTGTCCTTGGAATTCTGTGTAGGCCAGGCTGGCCTGAAACTCGGAGGTCTACCTGCCTCTGCCTCCAGGTGTGCACCACCATTCCCTGCTAGAATTTTTTGAAAGAAGAAAAAAAAGCCACTTTGGGGCTTATCACAGCTTTACCTATAGGTCAGATTCCTTTTCGTCATGATGATAAGATTTTCTTGGTGTTTATGTATTCATTCTATATCATTGCTTTTCAGATCCGGGAGAGATTTGTAAAAGAACCAGCATTTGAGGACATAACTCTAGAATCTGAAAGAAAAAGAATATTTAAAGATTTCATGCATGTGCTTGAGGTAATTCTTAGTTTGTTGTGACATAAAGGTGAAACTTTGAATTTCAAATGGCCAAGTATCTTTCTTAATGTGCACTGTTGTTTTACAATTCTGACCAAGGAATGTGAGTGTTTTCTTTCTGTAGAATTGTTTCAAGTGAAAAACAAGTTTGCATGGGCTGTTCAAGCTAGTGTCAGAGATTTGCTATTTGTTTAAGAGTTAAAGAAGTTCAGCCACATGTCAGCCATATAAATGAGCTAGTAGCTAGTAATAAGCCTCAGAATATCCTAAATTTTTTTCTGAAAATAGTGTTTGTTTCAGACATTATACTATATTAGATGTATGAACTAAATTCTCACAGCAAGACAATGCTGTTACAAATAAACAAACTATGATAACATGAAGTAACTTTTGCAGGAAACGGATTCCTGCCTATGTTATTCAACTCAGTCAATGCTTTCAAAAAGTTCAACATGGAGCTAAGGACATGATTGAACAGGCAAACGCTTTGCCCTACAAGTGTGAGGACTGGAGTTCATATGCCCCCAGCATGCATAAATGCAGGGAGGACATGGTGGAATCCTAGTGGTATGGCTAGCTATAATAATAGAATCTCCTGTTTCTGGGTTCCAGTGAGCTGGACCCTGCCTCAATAATAAGGTAGAGAGCAATCAGTGTAAACTTGTGGATTCCACAAGCATACATATAGTTGCACGTGTGTTTACACACACTGCACACTACTTGAGACCACACACGTAGGTATACCACATTGAAATGTACACATTTTTAAAAAGTTCACAGTGGAGTCAGTTCTAGACAGCTAATGATTTATAACAAGCCAAAAAGATAGTATGTGTTTATTGTAGTGTTGGCGTGATAATTAAGCACACGAGTAATGGAATTATTATCTATTTCTTTGGCTTTGTTGTTCTTGATTAGTATCATTGTTAACAAATTATTTTCTCCTGTTACCATGAACTCATGTGGGTTTCCATATTGATTCCCAACTGCCTCTATGACTGGTCCCTGTTGGCCTTTAGTTGTTTATACTACTCTGTACCTTAGACCAGTAGCATTTGTATTATCGAGGAGCCTCACAGAAATGTAGAACCTCAGGTTCCATCTACAGGAATCTCATATCAATTAAAATCATATGATTTTAATCATACACAGATTCTGAAGCATTTGAATATATTTGGAATTTTGAGATGGTGTACACTAGAGAGTGTATTACCTATCTTTTCTTAATTCAAGAATCTCTAGGTGCTAAAGGAGATGGTCCAGTGGATAAGAGTTCTTGCTGTGGAAGCATTAAAAAAACAGTTTAAATCTCCAGCATCCACATGAAAAGCTAAGCATGGCTGTGTGTGCCTATAAACCTAGCATGGGGGATGGCCGAAAGTAAATCTTAACAGCCAGCCAGCTTAACAGTGAGAGAGACCTGTCTCGGGAGAACAGTTGAGAGGGTATTAGAAGAAGATACCTGTGTCCTCATCTGACCTCTGAATGGGAACAGAGACCCTCACACTCTCAAGCATATACCACACACAATGACACAGAAAGAATCCCCAGCTGTGTTTGGTGATTTTGAGCTGGAGCTAATGTAGTACGGTGGTAAATGAAGCTAAAGATGCTTCCAGATTTCGAGACTAGAGAAATTAGGCCTTGAGGCAGCATTCAGGCAGCATTCAATGAGATAGAAATGGGTTCCGTCTTAGTCAGATTTTCCATCTCTGTTATTCAATCAAAGGTGTGTGGTTTTCTGAGCCATGGGTAGAAGCAGTAAGAATAAGGAGCTTTTACTGCAGCACCTCTCCTTTCTCAGTAGCCTCAGAAGTATTTGTGACTGCATGCACATGTGGAAGTCACAGTGTGCATGTGGAAGTCAGAAGAACACATCTAGGAGTTTGTTCTTTCCTGTTACCATTAGGTAGCAGGGCTAGAACTTGGGTCATGGTAGCAAACACCTTCACATAGGAGCCATTTCATAACCGTCCACATGCCCACAATAATCTGTTCAGTGTGACGAACACAACCCGTAGTTCTATAAGCATTCCCTGTCTGAATAAGCAGGAAATGATTCTCTGGATAAAAGAAAGAGGAATAGGTTTTATAAATCTCAGTTTAAGGATGGCTGTGAGGTTTTACTTTATCTTGGTGCTTGGGTTAGCTTACTAACCAAAACTAGCCAGATTAGCCAGAAAAGTGCCTGAATGTATTATATCTCATTATGGAAAGAAGCTATACCTTTCTAGGATGTAATACTTTTCCCTCCCAACCTTTGCCTTTGTAAAATGTTTAAATACCTAAATGAGTAGGTGTAGAAGAGCTAATAAGAATAGGAAAAAATAAGCCGGGCGGTGGTGGCGCACGCCTTTAATCCCAGCACTCGGGAGGCAGAGCCAGGCGGATCTCTGTGAGTTCGAGGCCAGCCTGGTCTACCAAGTGAGTTCCAGGAAAGGCGCAAAGCTACACAGAGAAACCCTGTCTCGAAAAACCAAAAAAAAAAAAAAAGGAAAAAATAAATGATTTCTTGTATAATCATTGGGTACTTTATCCTAAACCAAGGTATTTTCTTTTGAAGATCTCATGTGCTGAACTTGTCACATTTCCTTGTGATTGGCTATGTAAAGCAAGTACAGTTCTCTAAAGTTTTTCTCTTGCCACTCTAGCATGAATGTCAACATCATCATTCAAAGAACAAGAAACATTCTAAGAAATCTAAAAAACACCATAGGAAACGCTCCCGCTCTCGATCGGTAAGGAAAAAAATTGGCTGGCACACTATACCAAAACATTTGTGAGTATTATTATGAACGAATTTATGTATATTGTTTAGGGATCAGATTCAGATGATGATGATAGCCATTCAAAGAAAAAAAGACAGCGATCAGAGTCCCATTCTGCTTCAGAACATTCTTCTAGTGCTGAATCTGGTGAGTATTTCTATTTTTTTTTTTTAACTAAACCGTGACACTTTTATTTCCTCATATTCTGACATATTTTTTCCTTTCTGTGCTTTACAGAGAGAAGTTATAAGAAATCAAAAAAGCATAAGAAGAAAAGCAAAAAGAGGAGACATAAATCTGTAAGAAAATTTCTATATTTTAACAGTTCCAAGGTTTTGATCTAGAAAGGGTTCATAGGGCCTTCTCAGAATCTAATTCTGTATATGTGTAGAACTTTTTCCTTAATCTTCCATTAAAATCACAAGCTTCGAACAAAGGACAAACACCAGTGTTAGGATTCCTACCCTGATCTTTCAGTTTTAAAAAGGGAGGAGAGAGAGTGTGTGTGTGTATGTGCATGGGAGTGCACAAATGTTCAAACAGCTTCTCTTCTGCTGTTGTAGATACGTCTTAGGTTTACACAGGAGTTTTTCAAAAATGTTAGTGCCTGAATCTTACCACAGATGTATTGATTTAAATTGGTTGTGTTTGTTTTTCATTCTTCTCACTAATATTTGCTTCAATCTCACTCTGAACTATTTATTTAAGCACTAACATTTTAAATAACTTGTTTCTCAGTAATAATTTTGAGGAAGAATTATGCCCCTGTCAACCTTGTACATACTAAGTGAGCAGCTTAGTCAGCAGCATCTTTATATGTATCTAAATAAACCATAGTTAAATTTGTTTGAAAAATGTACATGAGCTAAGGGTGTATTTATTGAGGGTGTGTGTGTGTGTGTGTGTGTGTGTGTGTGTGTGTGTGTGTGTGTGTGTGTGTGTGTGTGTGTGTGTGTATGGGACTCTGGATCCTAAAGAATGAGTAATATCTCTATAGGTACACAGTAGGTGTAATCTGGTGATGAGGCTTTTAATGGTGGTTTACCCTATCCCAATGTATCCTTTCTTTGGGAAAAACTGCTCCTGCCTCCAATAAACATTGGAGAAATCTATGAAATCCTGGGTTCAAAGTGGGCTGTGATGGCACACACTTTAATCCCAGCACTCGGGAGGCAGATCTTTCCGAGTTTGAGGCCAGACTGGTTTCCAGGGAGGGCGTTTCAGGACAGTCAGAGCTACACAGAGAAACCCTGTCTCAAAAATTCTTAAAAACAAAACAAATTACATTTTACCTCTCTACACCTAACCTAATAAATGTAATATTCTTAAATATTACCTGCATAAATAATTTTATTTTTATCAGAATGTTATTATCAAAATTCTGACATGTTAGTTTTTATTTACGTAGGACTCTCCAGAATCAGATACTGAACGAGAGAAGGATAAGAAAGATAAAGATCGGGAAAGTGAAAAAGACAGAAGTAGACAGAGATCAGAATCAAAACACAAATCACCTAAGAAAAAGACTGGAAAGGATTCTGTAAGTACTTAGAATTGTGTCTTTCCTGAATTTACAAAAATAAAAATGGAGGCCCCATTTAAAACCAGATGGGGTTAAAGGATAGGCTTTTTGTCCTGGGTCTGCTAACCTTAAAGAAAAGATGAAATTCTCTTCATTGCTTCTCATGAGTGACCATCTGTTTGAGTCTCTTCGATTTATATTCCTTAAACAAAAAAACAGTTAACAGCACAAAATATTTGTCACTTTAAATTGGAAAGAAAAGATATATTCTGAATGGTGCACTATCACTAAAAAGTACTTCGGGCACTTTCTCTTTGATTTTCAAATTATCAGGGTTTTGTTTTTGCTTGTTTTTTTGAAACAGGGTTTCTCTGTGTAGCCCTGGCTGTTCTGGAACTCAGAGATCTGCCTGCCTCTCTCCCTGCTGAGTGCTGGGATTGAAGGTGTGTGCAACTATGCCTTGCTGTCTCCCTCTAAAATTTAGAAGGCTTAAGTCAGAGTTTCTCTAAATGTCCAGTTATCATCATGGTTTATAACTCTCGTCTCAAGAAGTAGCATTCCAGCAGCTAATAAGGATCAGTGGAGAGTGGCAGACACAGGAAGAGGAAGTGTGTTTTTAATAACAAGTTGTATTCATGTTAACTCCTCACATACACAATGATGGCAGGGCAGACAGTAGCACCAGCCTTCTTGGTTTCACCAGTTCCTTGGATAAATAAAAGTGGCTTTGCCTGTGAGTCATCAGGGAAGAGATGTCCTACATCTTGCATCAGAATATTCTGATCTATTAGTATAGAGTTATGTGTAGTTGTTATTTATTAATTATTGTTTTCTTGCTTTCTTATTGTTAAATAATTTTCTACAATGTAATTTGATCATCTTCAGCCCCTTTCAGCAACTCTTCCCAGATCTACCCCATTTTTTTTAATCTTTATGAATGAATCTGATTCACGACTTCCATGAAGAGTGAATCATCCCCGGTATTTATTTCTTTAGTATCAGTGGTTTAAACAAAACATCTTAAAGGTGCACTCTACTTTTCAAAGGTTGTATCTTAAAGATGATGCAGTATTAATTTTATTTAGTTTAAATCTTGTCTGCTTATTTGAGCATAAAATTTCAAACATTAAAATCTAAACCTTAAATTATTTTACAGGATTACCCAAAATCTCTATATATAATTAGCAAAGAACATACTGCCTAGGAAGTGAGTACCTGGCTTCCATTAAGTAGGGATGTTTCATATTTAATTGTGTATAAGGAAGTAATATATGTACAATTTTTCCTTGATTACATATTTTAATATAAACTGAAGTAGTGCCATGTATAATCCCAGTCTTCATATTTTTCTCTTAATGACATCCAAGGAATGCTTAATAACCCATTGTTGGGCTTTGGAGCAAAGTACCAGTTTTAAAATCCTGTGAAATGTGTTTCTGTGAATGAAACTCTTATCTACTTTGGACTCTATAGTTAATATTTTCTTAACATTTTCAGGATTAACTAACTGTAATTATGCTGATTGTCTTTACAGGGTAACTGGGATACTTCTGGCAGTGAACTGAGTGAAGGGGAATTAGAAAAGCGCAGAAGAACCCTTTTGGAGCAACTGGATGATGATCAATAAATTATACCAAATATATGTTTATAGTATGATTTAAAGTCTAATTCAGACCAGGGATTATTTTAAGTTCAATTTACATAATAACACTGGGTTTTAATTGTGTCACAGGAAAAAAAAGTGCATTTATGTATTGTTATTGTGGACTTTATAAAAGCAAAGGAAATTGAAAATAACTTGATTCTGTATCAAGAATCATATTTTCCTACGGTCAGAACTGTCTTTCTGTGACCCTTTCCTAGGGCACTGCAGGATGGATTAAAAGTGGCAATTCACTGATAGCTGCAGACGTCTCTACTTTGTTCTAAGTCATGAGGGGATTTGATTTACTTTATAGAAGTTGGATTTTGAAGATACAATGAACATTTTTTTGATAATGTAGTACAAAAAAAAGCACCAGCAACCCATGATAAGACTGCTTTTTTGTGCACTACTGAACTGATGAAAGCCAACGTGATCTTTTATGGTGAGCTCTTAAGAAAAGGTGTTTTTGATGGAAACTTGGTAGACCTTTAACTGGCGGTGCTGATGAGCACTGCTGTAATAAAGCCACCATTTTTTTTATGAAACATCCGAATACATTTTAAAAAGGCTGTGAGGGCATTATTTTGAGCATCTATTTTGAGGTGATGTTTTAAAATTGCTAACATCAAATCAAATTGTAAATTACTTTAAATATATTGCCTTAAGGACCTACAAAAGAATGTGCCACCAAACTTTTGAGTGATAGTTGAAATATCCTTGTAGTGGGGGGAAGAAAAATCAATGTTGACTTAAACATTTTCTTTGAATTTTTAATCCAATCTTTCTCTTTCACTTTTTTTTTTTAAATTCCATTGAGGAGGTTGTAAATTGCCTTCCTTACTCACTGAGAAGTATTGACTCCATGGTACACAGTCTAAAGCATTTCTGATTTCAATATTTTTGTACATTTTTATCTATTATTAAACCTTCTCTTGTAGTGTGCACTAGTGTTTATTTCTACACAAACTACTCAGCTCTAAGGAAATTGTATGATCATTTACAAGATAATAAATCCCTAAAATTTTGTTTCATCCTACTCATGGTAGCTACCTTAATTTCCTTTTATAATATTTATGAATATAAATCAGTGCATTTAAGGTCCTTAGTGTTTTCACTTATAAATTTCCTATGGAATATTTTAGAAAGGCAATGGCTTAAGATAGAATACTCTTTACATGCTAACTTTTGAAGGTTAGTAATGTGATTTATACTATTTTCCTTCAGTGCAGGAGGGCTTTGGTTTTGTATGTGTGTATGTGTTTTGTTTCTTTGTTTTTTTTTTTAAGTATTCAGCACTTAGTCTTCAGTATTGTCTTAGGTATTATCTTGATTCTTTTAATTTGGACTTGCTGAGATTGTCTCTTTCAAGCTGAGATTTAGATACAATATAAATTGTTTCATTGCCCTTTAAATGAGTTGGGACAGATCAGTACAACTGTTTTTCCATCCTGTCCAGTGTTTTAATTAAATCTAGTGGTCACTTTAAAAACTCAGAAAAGGGAGATACTTTGTTTCTAAACTTCTCATTGCCATGTCATTTTCTGTTTGAGGAAATATGAAATAATCAAAGTGCTTGCTTGAGATTAGTTCCCCATTATATGTCACTCAAAATATCTAGCAACTTTGGCAACAGAACTTCCTTGAATTTGATTGTCAGAGGTCCCAATTTAGCAGTAGTCAAGATTGCTGATGAGTCTGAACCCTTGACATGGAGGTCAGAGAGTCATTAAATCATGCGTATGACATTGGGAGGTAAACCAGTAATGTTTCAGAAGAAAAATTAGAATCTGTAAAACATGTTTTAATTCCATGAATGATTTTTAAAGTACAACTTTAAATTTTTGATATATTTGAATAAAAAGCTATTGATGTGTTTTGTTCTAGCATGTCCTCAAAATAGATTTCTGTATTTCTTATAATTTCTTAATATTTTCAGATCCCTATAAAACATTTTAAATTATCCTTGCAGTTAACCTATGCAAACCAGACATAGCAAAAAATATAAGTGATTATCTTGATTAAACAGATTTTTAAAGGCAGTTCTTGTGTTACTGCGAACAGATCAATATCATAACAACCCTATTGATTTAAATAGAAGTTTTATCTCAGTGTATGGAATTTTTACTTTAGGAAACTAGAACTGTAATATCCTTGCTATAAAACATGTAAATCAAGTCTATTCCATTGTCTTCTCTTGATTATCCCATTCAACGAACTTTAGTTGTTAGAAAAATGTAGTATGAAGGTACTAAATCTTTGAATATTTTAAATCCACTAGATATTTCTAAATCTTGAAAAGATTTGGCAAGACTGACTTATCTTTGAATATTTGTTCTTCTAGATTTGAATCTGATTTATTCAAATGGGAAAGAATTTGTTTATATATTTCAGTTAAGACTAGGGGCTCTGATGTTGAAACTTAATTTTTTTCTCAGCATCACTATTATTAAGCTTGCTAATGTATTTAATAACAGGCAAAATTTTGGCCTTGAATATTTGATATTCTTATTTTCTCCTATTCCATCCCTTTTATGTTGAGGAAAATTTGTAAGAGTAGTTAGTGTGACCAATTTAGCATGAGGATAATTTGCAATCTTCCCAAATGAATTTAAATACTGTGATAGGGCTATCAATTTCATTTTTTAAAATGTTACTGTTTATTTCAACATGTAAAACTTTCTGTGTCTTCTGGTAAGTTTGATAAATGACAAGTCACAATTATTTCATCTTTTGGATTTTTCTTTAAGTGGGGCCTGATGTTGACTAGCTGTGAAATGAAACAAAAAACGGATATTCCTAGAGTACGGCAATCCATTTAGAGTGCTAATAGCCTCTAAAAAGCCTACATGTGTTTTTCTGTGAACTATTTGTAGTTCTGGATTGTAGTGTGCTGCTGTCATTCATTTATATGCTTTACTAAGAAGCATTTGCTAAATGCTCCTGGTTGTACTCCAGTGCTAAAAGTTGACTAAGTGTTCCCTAGACATTTTGGGTCCAGAAGAGGAAAATTGGATTTACATTTTATGTAAGCATTCTAATCAGATAATACTTAGGGAAGAGTTAAGAAGAATGGCTTGAAGATTATAGAATTTTAACATAAAATGATGTATACTTAAATAAAAAATTTTTAAATTTTAAAAACAATCTAACAGAAATGAAAACAAACTAGAGTTAATTCCTTAAATATATTTTCCTTTGAGGAATCTCTCAGTATCAGATTTTAATTGAACCCACCTTCCTCTTCTAGGTTAAACTACACTTGATTTATTTACAAAAATGGAAAGAAAAATGATGCTATGATTTTTTTCATGGAACTACAGGAAGCTTATGTTTTCTGATAATGACATTTGCCAGACTGACAATGATTATTCTCTATTTAATCCACCATTTATTTTGATGTCACTGATAGTCAACATGAATTCCTCGCCTGGGATTTATCTCTTTCACTACTGTGTGTGTGTGTGTGTGTAATCTGTTAATTAATTAGGACTGTACCTGGCACACAGTAGGCACTTAACAAATAGACGTAAATTATCAGTTGATACATGTACTCATCTAGGACCATAGCATCCCATCCTCCATATTAATGGGCTTAAACGGGCATCATTGCAATTAAACCATACAACTCAGAACTGATGCCTCATTCAAAATCTACAAAAAAGCCTAGTAACTATAACTTAGGAAGTGTCCACAGCTTAATGAGAACATAAAATTCAGACTTATAAGATGCAAACATTTTAGGTTTTAAAAAATAGGATGAGTCATGGTAACATGATAGCACTCCATTTATAGGAGCTCACTTCAGAGTGAAAATGAAAGAAGTCCTATTCTTTGCTTAGCTGTCCTCCATTTTAGTTTTTCCTGGTCTAAGTTGCTTAATAAGATGCTATCCCTAAACCTGCTGTACTCATAGCTGGAATTGAGATTGAGTGGATTATAATTCAAGGCCATCTTGTGTAATTGATGTTTGACAGTGATTACCCTAGTGCAATTAATGTTTACAATTCAGAGAAACAGGCTAGCCCACAGCCCTGCTCTTTCATCTATGGAGCAGATCACATTCAAGCTAAGCCATTTTTTGATACTATGCTGTGATTGTTACTAGATTATCTACTTGTTACTGATACCTTTTTGTTTGTTTTTTGGTCCTGACTATTAACATTTTGGGTAGGTGTTAGGCTTCTTGCCTTCCTCTACAACTGAACAGAGGACTTACTCAAAAAGGTGAGTAATTGGGAAAAGGTTTCTCTTTTCTATGTAATCACCAGGTTTTTACTTCTGTTTATATATTTTCTTGATGTAAAGAACCTCGTAGCTTTAACAGTAGACCTTTTGTAAATAGAAAAATAGCATATTTTATTAAATAAGTTGGATTTGTGTCGCCGTTTTTCTTTTAAGTCTCTGCCCACAGCAGTTCTTTGCTGTGGGTTGAAGTGACCACAACCCTGTCTCTCAGTGCAGTACCCACTTTACTTAAAAAGGTAAACCTTGCTCTCCCCAAAAACCCATCAACACAACCTTATGCTTGTTCTTCAAATCTTTTCATGAAAATGGATGACAACAACTTTAAAGAGATGGAAAATGAATCTTGTGTTGATAAATTATATTTGCATATCAAATAAAAACTGGAGTGAAAGTCAGGTGTGTTGGTGCACACCTTTAATCCCAGCACTCAAGAGGCAGATCTCTGAGTTGAGGCCAGCCTGGTCTATAAAGGAAAACCCAGGACAGGGCTGCCAGAGAAACCCTGTCTTGGGGCGTTGGGGGTGAACATGACCAAAAACAGAGTGAACAGAATTTTATCATATACCAAATAGACTAGTAGTCTAAAGTATTTATCTGCTATTGTAAATTTTGGTAATTCTGCACAAATTGCCCAATTTTACAAAATGTATGTTGAACACCAAAGCAGAATCAGTGATCAGATAGATACTAGGTTACATTTTGTATCCAGTAGAAATTGACTCAAGGGTCACAGGGCAGTGCATTGACTTGTGTCTGTGCATGAACACTGGGTGAAAGCATACTGAATTCTGAGTTAGTTGGTAGTAGGGCACTTACCAAGCATATGCAAGGGCCTGGGCTAGCTCCCCAACAAAACAACAGACCACAAATAACAAAAGACTAAACCTAACCAAACCTTCCATTGAACTTTACTGCTGTAGGTAAGGTATGAAAATACTCCAAATATGTAAAATGGTTAGTTAAGATGTTTTAAACATTTTACCAGCAAGCCAGGTTCTTTTGACCACAACATGTGGGAAACTGGGGCAGGAGAGACATATGGGGGAGCAATTTTTCTAAAATATACTCCATTTGGGTTTTAAACTGCAATAACAAGCTATCTGTTTTTAATGATAAAAATCCATATAAAACAAAAACCATAGAATACACAATTCAAGGATTACAGCATATGACAGAATAGTAGTGTAAATAGTTTATTTGCTCAAATGGCATGAAAAGACCAGAAAAGTAACATGAATTGCTTTTATAAAACATTTCTAGTATTGCTAAGAAGCAGGATCATTAATAGACAGACAAAAGAATATGCCAACATTACTGTCCGTTTGTACATTGGGAAATGAGCAATTTTTTAAGCAAATGCACACCTTTGGAAAATAGCTGATTTCTTTGATAAAGTGTCCAATATTCTTATGATCAAATTAATATATTCATCAAAATGAACGACTCAACAAAAAGACAACAATCCTGGCATGTTCTTTTAAAACTACATTTATGAATGTGCCATCAGGTGGCCATTAAAAAGGGAGCTGTAAATAGGCATACTACTGTGAAATGTGGTAACTGACTCAAATTGTCCTTGTAGTTAAATATATATATTTTAAAAAAACTATAAGTTAAAGTAACATTCAGATTGTGTAGCATAGGCTGATGAACATTTTTAAACAATATTTACAGGATTAATCAGGGGCTTAGGTAGGAATTAAAAGAGAATTGTAAAAACCATAAAAAACTGCACCAATCTTATAGCAAAATATCTGTACATTTTAAAAGATCATATAACTACACATCCATGAAAAGGGGGACCTTTACCAAGGGAGTTCACATAAACACAAGAAATTCAGCGGTTAAATACTATACAATAATTTTTACAATTAATATACTGATGTACCAATAAGGTAAGCCAGAAGCAGAGTATGTATTATGAGAAGTACAAATTTAGCTTCAGTCCAGTCTTCCACTTTGGAATGGATCAAAATGCCTTGCCAGTGAGGAAGTAAAAATAAGTGACTTAACCATTTAACCCTATCAATATAATTTAAATTTAATGTTAATTTTCTAAAATCTAATTGGAAATTCTCATAAGCGAGAAATACACATAGCAATTCAGCCTTGATAACTTAATGTCAGCTGTATAAGTATACTTCAGTTTAGAAAAGGAAAAAGAAAAAGGCCCTTCGATTGTCAGAAGAGAATAAGGCCGGGTTCCAACATTACACTAACACATGTAATTTTGAATGCTTACTGATAGAGCTTGTGGTAAATTCTCCCTGACTAACAAGGCACCAATTTCTGTTTTAAGAATTGACCCATAATGGTAATTTTAGTGGTAATAAATATATTTGTGTTATTAAAAGCTGCCTCTTGCTTAAGAACCCAGTTTCTGCAGTTAAGTCTTATACAATGTTTTATGCCATTCTGCAGTCATACAAGTGAATGCCTTTGTGCCTGGTACCCTTGCACAGAAACAACATGAGACAAGACAGACTTCGAGTGGTACTGCAGTTGCATCCTGCTTGTACTTTGCTGGGGCTTACTTAATAATAGAAGGATATTATCCGTGCCAGGTTCCTTCTCCCTTGTTACAAGTCCTTAAAGATACAGTTGATGAATATGGCTCAAACACACAATTTCTTAGAAGACTTCTCAGCAAAGGAAGGCCATAGCAAACATATCCCTGTTATTTACAAATTACCAGGAAGCCAGGGTGGGCCATAAGGGACAGTCACAATGGCAAATAATGAATTTAATATGAAATTTACATTTTGGTTAAAAAACTGAGTAACATACTGATGTAAAAAGATTTAAGTCAAATTCTATTGCTTTGATTAATCTGAGCAAGTTATTTCCAATTTTAGGCACTTGTTAACAGGGGTTAAAAGGAGAACCCATTCTTTTTAAATTCTATGTGTTTACTAAGTCTGAGCCCTTAAGGAAATTTGATCTGTACTGAAGGCTGCAGCTAAATGGTAGCACATAAAGTTCACGTCGGCAGTTTCATGTGCACCCTCTCGTGAAGGCTGGTCTCGGGGTCACACTGTTATCTCTGCACCATTAATAGAACGCAAGTTCTGATCATCAAAGCGACGCCTCACACTTCGTCTCACCGCATCGGCTCGTCTATATGGTTGGTTTCTAAGATCTGTAAAGAGGAGAATGCCAATGAAAGAAGAGCAACCTCAAGTCTGTCTTAGCAAGACAAAGGCCAGTTGGCAGCCAGTCAAAGCAGCTTGTGTAGAGTCAACTAATGGGCCCTTCCAACCCATTGAGCACTGAACCAAAGACATTTGCCTTTAGAATTTACAATTAAAATAAGATGTAATACTGGTAGGATTCTGAAATTTAGAGATTTTTCTATCATGGTCAGTATCTTAGCTAGTTGAAGTATTTTGAAATGTTTCTCCAATCGGAAGCAACTATTGCTCAGTCTTCCTGGGGCATCTTAAATATCAAAAGACTATAATGATCTTACTGCAAAACTCACAAAGCAAACTGTTTTGACTTTGCAGTTTTAACAAGAATATGCCAGAATACTGCGGAAACAGGTTCCTTTGTACCTCATTAGGTAGCTGAGAACAGTTTTTTATGAATTAGAAATAATACTCAATACCTCACTCTCTTATTGGTCTTTCCTCCACCTATTATGTTTGTGCTCCAATCTGTAGGGAGAATCTAGTCTATTGCTAATGCAAGACAGACTGCTTGGTATTTAAAAAGCTGTGAATGAGTAAGTCAGACTAGTGCATTCTGGTTGAAGGAGACATTGCTTTAGTGGGATGAAATGAAGTAACATAAATTTTAGATAAGCACTCTTAGTATGAAGGCATGCTTTTTTATGAATAAGACTGATAGTCTAGCATGTATCCTTTGGATAGAGTTAAAACATAACACAACAAAAAGGTGTGTAATGTGTAATAATAAATACTAAAGGGAAAATTGACGGCATTGTAGACTTATACTAGGCAACATCCTATGTTTACAAAACATTTATCATAGGCATCCAATATTTTAAGTTGATAGTTGGCGTAGTAACCAGTACTTGGTGAGCATGTCTATAAGGCAAAATCAAACCCTCTTGGGTTTGTCCCCAAGAGGCTTGTTAACTTGTGGCCCTTCCCATATTCCTTTTCAGTCTTAACCAAAACATAGGTACACAGTTATTCTGGTGGTTTTGGCCCTGTGGTTTTGGGATCCTCAGATGAATTATTTGTAAAATTCCTAATCTTTCAAAGTCTGTGGATCATCTTCCCTGGCCAATGCCCACTGTACCTATCCAGATAAAACCAGAATTAACCAGCTTGAAGACCAAAAAGGATTAAGAGAAGCAAGTACAATTAGCTATTTTGCCAAGCCATCACAAAAGAATGGGAAAGCCAGCTGAAAAAGCCACACATTATTAAACGTGAGGCACAAAGACTGGTCAGATTCTCACCAGTATTACCCTTGACCATAAATAACCATTGGACTGCATATAGAAAGGAGGAAGCTAAGTAAAAAGTGATGCTTGCCAGCTCTGTGTATCCTCCACCACCGGTGTGCTAGAAGAAATCCTTACCCTCGAGTGAACATTTGGAAATTTAGTGATATTATTCTTCTTTAAGGCTAAACAGAAAACAAAAAACACAAAATGATGGTTAAGTAAAAAATGGGATGAAAACAGAAAGCAACTCAACTTAGTGCTTAACATTGCTGGGTATGTTAGCTAACAGAAGGCTTGGGCTTTAACTACAGGTTGTGTTAGGTAAAACAAGGGAAAGATGAGTGTCTTCCCACCCAGCCATGATCACCCAGTTTCAAGCTGCTTTGAAGATTGGCTCCAGAAAGATAGACAGTCGAGCAGCAAACAGCCAAGCAGATGAGAGTTTTGAGTCTGTTAATGAGCACTGGTGGGTAAGTACACTGCAGAGCAAGCAATGACAGGGACATCTTCAGATTAAAAAACACACACACCTAGCAAATGCAATTCACAGAATAGTTGTGCCACAAAACAACCAGTTCCATGTCAATCTCAGCACAGGAGATAGTGGCTATTGACAATTGGTAGTATGTTCTTTGTCTCTTTTGTAAGCAACTACGCATAGGCATATATCTGCTTTTTTAATCATAAACACTAAGCTCAGGAAATTACTTGTGCAAATCTTATACCTCTCCCATTTTCAAGTGCTAAGAAAAACTATTCTCCATCTTTCTGCTGCCACTCTCCTAACACGCCCATCTAGCTGTGACCTTGTCACCAAAAAGTACTCTGGTTTGACATGGAACAGAGTTACCATGAAGAGAGAGGACAATCTTCAGTCTTTGCTTGCACATCCTGCCTTGCATCTCTGCTCCAATACGGAACTGCTGCAGATAGTTGAAATAGGGCATGACAGTGAACAGAGGCCACCTGCCGAGGGTAGGGCTGTGAGGCTGAAAATTGATGATGTCAGGGTTTCCAAGATTTTATGCTGAAAGGGTCCCCAGTGTTAAGCTCGTACTGAGTTCCAGCACACTTAGGACTATATAAGGCATTGGAGAAAGGCCTAATTTGCAGTTGTGCTTAATACAGGTCCTTATGTAAATACAGCTTGAGAACCTTCCTTGTTTTCATACATAGTATGGATGATTTTATTATCTTGGGGCAGGGGGAGCCGTATGTACCATGGTTCAGGTGTGGAAGTCAGCAATTTGTCAGAATTGGTTCTTTCTTTCATCATGTGTGTACTGGGGCTCAATCTTAGTTGTCAGGCTTTGTGGCAGGCACCCATGGAGCCATCCCAGTATTCCCTGCCCCGTTCATTTTCTGAGCACTTCTCTACAGTGTATCATTTTATTACCATGGTAGCTCAGAATAAGGGTTGTGGAGGAAGGTGTTATCTGTTAACTTGCTAGGGAACAGTAAATAAATACTCAGTAAACACTGGCCTTAATTTTGTATTCAGAGATGATATTAGTCCCCAGCAAGTGGTTCTATTAACTGTCACCCACATTCATATCATTGCAGGAGTGTGGTTACATACATGTACTGAAAGTGGCAGTATGAGTGTACAGTAATGACTGAAATAAAAAACCATGCAGCATGAAGACAACACAAAATGTAAAATGAAGAAGATGGCATTCCATAGTGGTTGGTCCTAAGATATGGGAGTTTAGGGGTGGAATAAGAGGTTTAAAAAAAAAATCTATAGCAACCTTTTAATAGTATCAGGTGACAAAGCAATAGTTTAGTAATGGTATTCCTCAGTGAGAACAGGTTCGCAGAAAAACCGAGACCCACGTTTGGCGGTGCGAGCAGTAAAGGGCACAGTCTTCAGCACTGCATTGAGAATAACAGCCAGACAACAAAAGAGAGTGAAAAGCCAGGATCTATTGCATTAGTACATGGTTAGTATAAGAGGAAAGCTAAGAGAGAAGGCAATATGTATTCAAGTTCATTAAAGTCTAGAAGAAAACCTGGGACTTGGAGGGTGGGGAGTAGGAAGTGAAAATGCTTCAAGGAAAAACTATTCTGAAATATGTCATTCTTTTTTAAGTAAGAAATTTTGGCTCTTTTTTGTTTTGAGGGAGGATGTGAAACTCATTGTAGTAAACGATGACGTTGGGCTCCTGATCTTCCTTCCTCCAACCCCATAAGTATTATGATTACAGGTGTTGTGACGTTGTAGCCAGCCTGTGTCTTGAGTTCTTACTGTGCAAAGTTGGATGCTTCCCTAGTCTCAAACGTTACTGTGGCACTCAGGTGTTTACCTTGATTGGCAATCCATTCCTAGTCTTGAACAGAGCAGAGCTTCCCCCACTGCAGAGGAGGCAGAGAACTGCCTCCCAAGGGGCATTCTGCAAGCGACTGCACAGTGCACGCTGCTACAAGCACATGCGCACCCTGTGAGAACAGATCGCCATTTGTTGTTTCGTTTTATTTGATGTGCACTGATGTTTTGCCATGGGTGTTGGGTCCTCTGGAACTGGAGTCACAGACAGCTCTGAGCTGCCCATGTGGTTGCTGGGAGTAGAACCCCGGTCCTCTGGAAGAGCAGTCATTGTTCTTAACTGCTGAGTCATTTCTCCCACACCTCCAGATTGCCATTTTTACTAGTCACTCACTTATGCTGCTTTAATAACAGGCAAGGAATTCTTTGTTAACTTTAAAAATCTAGTCTACATATCTACTTAATTTCCCTGTTTAAGATGCTCAAAAAAATTCTGTGGTTTTAGAAACTTGACATCCCTATTCACAATGCCAGAAAGCTATGAGAAAATTCAAGAAATTGTATTTTTGAAAAACTAGAATTTGAGAAATATTAATAATAACTACACATTTACTATTAAGATTGTTTTGAGTATTGATAAAAAGCAATGCAGTTATATTTTGGCTTTGTTTTATAAGCATCCATCCTCATCTTTAAAAGGTGTATACTTAAATATTTCCAAATGAAGTTATTGTTATGGGATTGCCTCCTAAGGAGGGGGATAGGGGGACTAGCATATACATATAACAAGACTGACCACAGTTTACTGTTGAGCTGGGTGAGGAACACCTGGACAGTCATATGACTGTCTATACTTTAACATCTTTAAACCTTACCATATGAGCAAAATGCTTTCAGTATCTTAGCTGATAAACAGCATTCATGTGCAAATGACACCAAAGAGAAATCACTTACTGACACTGCTTAACAGGCCAGCAGCCTAAGTATCCTGCTCAGTAAGAGGCAGTAAGAAACCCTGGAAGATTGGTTCAAGCAGAAAACATGAAGCTAGGAAAAAAAACAAAAAACAAACCTCAAGCTAAATTAGCTGATAGCAGTCCCCAGTTCTGAGCTAGAACCCTATGGACTCATCCAAAGGAGAATACAACTTCCTGTTGGCTTTGTTACTTTGAATGAGTAAACAGGTTTTTTAAAGAGCATGCCAGAGAAACCTACATTGCCTGTTAGTACAGACAGGATTCTCCTGCAGTATTCCTATTAGGCAAGCATGTAGGAGTGGCCACAAGGTAGAAAATGACAAAGGATGACACAGCCCATGGGAAACAGGGAAGAAGACTTAGGTCCCATAGGTACAGAAGGGCCAAGATTGTTGAGAGTGCTAGATGGCAAATGATAAAAGTGTACTTCAAACCCGAGTTTACATTTTGCTGCATAATTCTAAATCTCATTAACCCAATTAAAGAGCTTGCCAACTGTTGACGAAAGGAGCTGCAATATCTGTATGTGGCCCCACTTCTGTGAGGCAGTGTGATCACTACAGACCACAAAGACGAAATACCCTTTACCTGTGATAATGTCTTCAATGGCGCCATCTTTTCCCTCATATACATGTCTGTTATCTTTAACTTGTCGCCTTCTTAATTCCGCAATTAACTCTTGCTGCTGCCTCTTTGATTTATGGGAAGGAGACTGAGAAGAAAAGCAGAAACTGATGACAGCAATGCCCATCTAGACTTTAAGAAAACTCAGAGTGTGCCTGACCTTTATATTGAATAGCCACAGCCAACAACACTACAGATACCACCATCCCAACATTCTGCTTAAATGCCAAAAATTCAGGAAACTTCTGGGAAGACAACAGAAACTTTAAGCTCTGAACACACAAATCCTAACTAGGCAGTGTGTGTGTCTAAGGGTGATGATACCTACCTTGGTTTGAGACAAGAGGCTTTCACTGACCTGGAGCTTACCAAATAGGATAGTTTGGCTGGCCAACCAGCTCTATCTATCTGTTTTTATCTCCACAGCTTTGGGATTACAAGCACCCACCACCATGGCCAGCATATATATACCAGTGTTGGGGCTAAAACTCAGATTCTGATGCTTGCAAGGCAAGTTTTTTGTTGACTAAGCGCTCTCCTCAGTTTGATGTAGGCTGGGTTCTGTGGCCACAGAGATAGCTGATAATAGTCACAGACTTCTCAAATCTTACAGCAAAAGCCTGCCCTCCTTCATGAAATGCTTTCTTCCAACACTCCTAGCAAAGACACTGTTGTTGAAGGTCAGTACCCATAGACACCATGGAACCTTTCCTGGTTCAAGACCCTTATTATCAGATAATCTTGTATGGCTTCCCTGAATATACAAGTAAATTCTTGATCTCTATCAACTTGGAGATGCTTCCCAGACACTTCCTTTCTTTCCAGAAGTAGTTGACCAGTAATGAAAGAAAAAAAATGTCCACATGCTGCAGAAGGTGGTGGTCGGGATCTTGCACATGCCCTCTCTACTTTTGCTTCATTCAGGCCCATCTCAGAAGCAGACACTTCTTACCTTTGGGTCCTGCTGCTCCATCAAGGCTTCTTGCTCCAAAAGTTTTTCCATGAGAGCTTGTTCCTGCTTTTTTCTCAGTTCATTTTCCTCTTCTGCTTGCTGGGCACATACAATTTTAAAATAGAGATTGGAAATGGCATAAATGGAAATGGTGACAGGTACGGTTTCTTAAAGCCATTTGAAAAATCCACTGGGAACTGACGGGAAGGTGAGACGATGCTTCATGACCACATTCTACTCCAGTTCTGTGTTTCCCTATCTGCATATGACAAGTCTTCAGACTGGCAGCTGAAGACCTCAACTAGAACTTTCCTGATGTTCCTTGACCTGCACAAATAGCTTCTGAGCCCCACCCCTCTGACCACTGTATTCAATGATTTTCAAGTGAGTCTCAATTTCTTCCAGAATCTGGCCACCTAATAACACCTTCTCTGAAAGAAGGATCTAGATTACCCTGTCTTTTGCCGGAGAAAACCTCCATTTTTCTAGACTTACAATCCCATAAGGGCCATACCACAATAGGATTCTTGGCATCTTCATACAACTCTACACGAGTCAGAATGACTGGCCTGGTATCTTAGAAAGGAAAGAGAATAGATTCAGCTCTCTTGGCTACTCTCTTGAAGTCATCCCTGCCCAAGAGACTTGTGTTGAGCTATAAACTGATAGGAAGGCTCTCTGTTTGGTTTAGGGATTGGGGATAGTCCTATCAATAAGGTTTGCATTTTGATGTCTCTTTCTCTCTTTTAAAACAAAATCTTATTTATTCTTTGACTTTTACATATGTGTGTATATCTCCGTTGCTTTTGTTGCATTTCCTTTGGGCTCACAGGAAGGAAAAAAGGGGGCAGTGTATTAACTTCCCAGTATCACTTAATCTCCCACAGTGTACCATGGTCAGCACCAGGCAAGAATGTTGTTCAATGTATGTAGGACAAAGAAAGTATTCCATAACATCATTATCCATCCTCACTACAGCAGCTACAATGACTGCAAAGATAAAGGCCAAGGCAGAGGAGCATACTTGTAAACAAGCTTGACCACAACATCTAAAGATCACTGAGAACAGAGCAGCTTCTTTTTGCCTTTGTTCCATACATGTTCCAACTGAAGCCTTTGAGAGCAATCCCAGCACTTCCCAGGTTGTTTGATAATTTTGACAGATGATTTCTCTTCTGATCTTAAGCTTAGGACTTTTCATGTGAAGAAATGTGATTACAGCACCCCACAGGAGCCTCCCAGGACATCTCTGCAGCTCATCAGCATGGCTAGGCCCCCAGGGGACTACAGAGTACCAGTTAGCAGCTGGAGGCCAGTGGCCTTCCTCCCATCCCATGCTTGTGCATCCTTATACTAAGGAGATTTTCCTTAAGCTCTCAACTCATGATAGGACTACTATATTGGCCATGATGAAAGGAGGTAACTAAATACTTTAATCTTAGAGTAATAGGCCCAGGGGTGGATCTCTAAAGCCATTAATTAGCCTCTACTCATTTTAAAAAATACTCATATCTCCCATAGGGTTTTTTCACAAAGGTGTCTATAAACTGCTCAAATCCTTAAAATACTTTAACTCTACCAATATGACCAATGTTAAAAACAGAGAACTCCAGGGAATAGGGATTGTTCTCAGTATCTGTGGATTCCACATTCATGAGTTTAACCAAATATAAATTAAAAATATTATCTTTACTAAACAAGGACAACATTTTTCTCAATTATATTACCGTTTTCCTAAATTAAATTAACATTATTTGCATAATACTGACAAAGTTGATTGGATGACAATGTGCCCCATAGGTATGTCTCAGTACTTAGTTCCTAGTTGGTGGAACTGTGTAGGAAGTGTCTTAGTCATTGTTTTGTTGCTGTGAAGAGACACTATGACCAAGGTGACTCATAAAAGAAAGCATTTAATTGGGGACTTATTTACAGTTTCAGAGGCTTAGTCCAATTTCCTTATGATGAGAAGCATGGTGGCACACAGACAAGTGTCACAGTGGTGTCTGAGGCCTTTATATCCTGATGCACAAGCAGAGAGAGACTGGGCCTAGTGTGGGCTTTTCCATCCTGTGGGAGCCCGTTTTCAGGTTCCTCGTGGCTTTACCCAGCAGGTCTGCACAGAGAGGATGATTAGGACCACGGCCTGAGTGCAGATGTCTGAGATGGTCTGCACTTGACTGTCCTGGGGGAGGAGGTCTTTTGCTCCACCCCTTGGCATTTCTATAAATACCCTAGGGTAGAGACAGTCAGGGCTCATTGGAATAGGTTCCAGGCCCTCTCGAGGTTATCCTTTATTTTCTTCTATCTAATATTTCCTGCTGTTCACACTCAAGAAAACTCTGGGAAACTGTGGGGTTGGTGGGCAAATGCCCAGCACCATCCTCAAAGCTGGCTGCCCTCCAGTGACACACCTCTTTCATCAAGGGCCCACCTCCTAACTCTTTCCTGGCAACTTCATCGTGACCAGGCATATAAATATACAAGCAAACCACCACAGGAAGGATCAGGATATGTGGCCTTGTTGGAGGAGGTGTGTCACTGGACTTTGAGGTTTTTAAAGACCATACTCAGTGTGCTTTCTGCCTCTTGATTTTTGTATCCAGACATGAGCTCTCAGCTAGTGCCACAGCCTCCTGCCACCATGCCTTCTCTCTGCCATCATAAATTCTGGGACAGTAAGACCAATTAAACTCTTTTATCAGTTGCTTTATAAAAGGTCATGGTGTTTTATCACAGCAACAGTAAAGAAATTAACACAGTTGGTATATGTGTTACAACTAATTTAGAGACTTGAAATATACAGGAAGATATGCACAAGTTATATGCAAATAAGTACTGCATCACTTTATGTGAGGGAATTGAATAGCATCAGAAGTAGATATCACCAAGCTGCTGAAACCAAACCCCATAGGTACTGAAAGACCACGAGGTTTCCTAATGCTAAAGTTTCTAAAGTCTTCCTTGAGGTTCTTTCCCCAAAGGAGAAATCTTGGGAGATCATTTTTCTTTTTGTCACATGCTTTTTCAGCATCATGGATCATGTCCAGATTAAAATTCAAAAGCTGTAGTCCTGTCCAGCACCATCCTACATTCCATAATATTGAATGCTAGTCTAAGAAGTCTCACCATGGCTCAATCAGGTCTATAAATAGCACATAGGATCTCCCTGTTTTAGTTATAGCATGTGCCACTGACATGCCCTGGTTCACTTGGCCCATCAAACAACTCCACATAGGTGTGGATTTTCTATGCCCTTCACCTGGCTTGTAATATTCAACAGTCAATAATGAGCAACAGTGGTAATGGAGCATCTCCCCTGCCCCAAGCAGGTAGCCAATTGCCTTGTCTTTTTTGCTGAGGCCCAGGCATGGCTCCATGAAAAAATGAGCCATTGTGGTCTGAGGGCCTAAAAGCCCTCAACGGGGTTAGAAAGTGATCACCCAAATCTGCTGCCCAAGGCCAAGGAGGCCTCTGCAGAGAAGCAAGGCCATAGACATTTCTGGAGGAGGGAAACATTTCTGTTGGGAAAGTGGACAAGAAGGCTATGGGTGCTCTCCTACTTACCTTGTAGGCTTTCACAAACCGAACAAAGACAGGGAAGAACACAGAGGGTGGTGTTGTCTTGGGGTTTTCACCAAAATACTTCACCACATCATCAAAAGCATCCTGGAAAGAAGCAAATTTTTCTTTAATTACATTAGTTCCACTATCAAGACTGGATGCTCTGGGGCAGATAACTAACACAAAGACATTTGCCTTGTAGTTTCTGTGCCCCATGGGATTCTCTATATTACCTCTCATACTTCACTAAAGGCAATCAGAAAAGTACAATAGTTGGACATAGGAAGTCATCTCTTAAGACCTGCTGTTTCTTCCCTAATTCCATCAAACCCCCCCTACACACACACACACACACACACACACACACACACAGAGCTATTTCTTCCATGACTTTCCTATGGTCAAGACTCAACTCCTTACACTACAAGCTCAGGAAGGATCTTGGGAACAACTCCGGCTCTAAATCTCAACTCTTTGATTCATACTCCTTGCAACATCCCCACAACAAAAGAACAGCCTCTTCTGTGAGCTACCACAGTCCAAGCCAGAAGAACAGTCTCTTCTGTGAGCTACCACAGTCCAAGCCAGAAGCTATCACTGTCTGCCTCGAGTTCCCCGGCACTCCGCCTCCTGCTCCATGATAACAGGAACTGTACTCTGTTCTGGGTTTGCTTGGATATCCGAGGTCCCTGGGGTGACAGAGCAGTATGAAGCCTAAGACCTAGAGAAACCTTACACCCAGGGACTTTGCTTTGGGAGCCCAGGCCTGACGTGTCACAGAACTGACTGCAAACAGACCTGTGCTAGAAGGAATTTAGGAACAGAAGAGAAGGGACAGAGAGGGCTTCTACAGAATAGCACAAAAGGCCCCACTTGGAAGAGGCACTTTCAAGGACAACAGGGGGGAAAGTAACATTAGCTATGTAAGGAATTGACCTAGTAATGGTAGAAAAATGCAACATTACTTTCCCAGCCCAGAGCCTATGCCTCAAGTGGCCTGAAGGAGTTCACTCTCTTGGATTACCTGAGCAATCTTAGCATCATCCTGCAGCTTCTTCAGCTTGCCCTCGTTGTGAAGGATAAACTCTTTGAGCAGCGTGTTATGGTCATGCATAGTATACTCCCTCTTGGTTAAGTCCATGCCCCTCTGCAGCTCCCTGACATCCAGCAGAACATTTTCAAGGGAGACTGATGGATGGAGAGAAAGCAACACATCAGGAAACTTCTATTGAGAGGAAGTCCAGCTGCTAAGCCACATTCTCAGCACGTTGTAAGGCTTACTTAGGACCCTTATAGCTAGTTCCCACCTTTAGTCATAGACAGCCTTTAATACGAAATTCATGAAATGCCACTATCAAATAAATTCTTCATAAGCATTAATCCTACTGTTCTAGTATCATACTTTGCCAATGAGGAGAAGCAACATAAAGAGGTTCTGTGGTATGCCATGAGTCACACGGTTCAGAGATAGCACAGGGGATGGGAAAACATGCCCAGCGTTCACTTCTTGCACTGGAGACCAAGGTTCCATCTGCATCCAGCCTACATCCAGTTTAGCTGTAGGTTCAAATAGGCCCAAGACTTTTTTTCTATTCTCTTATTTACTCTGCATGCTTTTGCAATCCTGTAACTTCCCAGCAGAGGGCAGACAATTTTACCTGCTGAACTTCAGTTGTCTAGACCATTAAGACCTAAGGCAGCCTTAGCTTTTTGTGAAGCCTTTCTTGCTTCAAAGAATTTGGGGTGAACCTTGCAGTAGTGCCACCACCCAGAGCAGGCACATTTCTGAACCCTTATGAGCCACTTTCCCCAGAGAAGTGGGTCCCAGTTTTGTTTTGTTCAGCTCTGCCCATGGCTAGATTACAAATCAACGTGGTATGTTCTCGCCTTACTAGACTTGTACTGTCTTATTCCACCCCATAATACTTCTGACAGTACTAAGTACAGAGAAAGTACTCAAAACTGCTAATAAGCAAAGGAGCAGTCCTAGCTGACTACATTAAGAGCATGTGTCAATCAGCCTGGATACCAGTTCAGCCAGGGAGCATATCAGTCTCAGCAATTTTTCTCACAGGCTTTTTTCAAAATTTCCTGGCCAAGTCATCTGTGCTACTACTTAGGAAGACGTTCTTGCTATTTGGTCTTCTTAATTGGAACTAGACTTAAGAACCTTAATTTAGGAAAAGGAAAACGGTTCCATTCTGCTAGCTGCATAAGCGAGCCCATGATGTGTCTATTCCAGCCTGTTTGTAGCAACAAAACCATTTCTACCCGCAGTTTGGACTCTACAACTCACATCATATCCAAGAGCAAGAGAATAAAAAGAGTGATGGGCAGGCAATGGAAGAGGCACATCTCAAAAACCTGGATCTTTAGAGAGAAGCCACTGCCACAAACTACCTACAAGCCCACATTCAACTGCTCAGGAGTGGGTGGTACCATGACAACACATTCCAGCCCAGGAGAGCTGGCATACTGATCCTGCCTTCTGCAGTGGGTTCTGAAGAGTTTCAGTAGGGAATGATTCCCTCATAACTACGATATCAAACATCTCAAGGTAACACTGACAGCTGAAATTAAGTACCTGCAGCAGCTTTTTCCACATAATGAAGCTCATTATAAAATAGAGTAACTTGTTGATATTTTTCTTTTACCACATTTGATATATAGTGCAACAGTGTTTGTTTTCGGTCTGTTGACTTCGTATCTAAGAGCTGAACACAAAAGGAGACACAGATTAGATGCAAGAGCAGGGTGCAGGTGCCCAGAGTAATAAGAAAAGGCTGGCAAAAACACTCCCCGAGGAGCCTCAGGACTCGGTGTACTCTGGAGAGAAGCAGCCCACTGGTGCTGACACAGCCTGAGGATGTCCCGACTGAGTATGCGCAATATGCTAGGGCAGACTCTGAGCTAGGGATACTTCAGATCTTCATCTTGCTTACATGAATTCTCCCTATCGCTGCATCTGCTATCCATCTACCTCCCTTAGCTCAAATGGGAAAAGACTCCAGCTGGTACTGCTCTTCCACATGAAGAACCAGAACAGGGATGGAAGGTGGGGCCAGCAGGTATGCTCAGTGGCTCCAAAGGCAGCAGGCTCTCCCTTCTTGCCTAGCTCTGATGACCCCAAAGGGAAACAGCTGGCCTGCTGGCTGGGCATTCTGAATCTGCGAACTTTACCAACCTCAGACAGAAACTGAAGGAAAAAAAACTGCCACTGTACTGCCTTTTTATTGTGATTATTTGATACATAATATCATGAAGCACTGCTTACAAATCATGACATAGTACTAGGTATTGTAAGTAAACTAGATGTGAGTTAAAAGCTAGGAGGACATGTTTAGGTTAAATCCACACACTGCACTTATTTTATCGAAAGGACTTGAGTATCTGAGACGTTTGGTATCCTTGAAGGTACTGGAACAAATCCCACACAGATACTATTGATCAGGTTATGATGGCGGGATATTGGATCATGACTGATATGGCACTATCGATTAACCATGTCTTCCTTGACTTGGAAGTCACAATAGATCTGCACAGCCTAAACGGGATGCCATGGAAGATGACTCTGCAAAGGACTGCACTTTGTCCATACAGGAAAAAGAAATTATATACACATGCAACTATATTCTAATTTTCTAATTTCTAAACAAAATTATCTATTTGTCTGAAAAGTCTTCCAAGGGAGTTAAAAAATTAAATAGTTCACTGTATTAACTGTTAGCCTAGTCATTTTCCATCATGCTGGGATTTGAGATTATTGCTATAAAATGCAGTATTCATAATTTGAACTCTTGAAAGAGTCATAGAAATGGGAATACTGGGTGAAAGGCTGTAAGTATCTGGTCCTTCCTGTCAAGTGGTGTTTTGGAAAATTTATACCAACTTGCCCTCCTGCACTGAGGAGCCTCCTCCAACACCCCCCCCACCCACCCCCAGAATAGAACCCCCCTCCACAACTTAATCTCCGCAGCTGTATGTCCTTCAAGGATCTCATATTCCTTGTTGTTCACACACCAGATCTAAACTCTGAAGTTTAAATCCATAAACTGCTCCTCGTTTGCTGCTGTTCATATAGTTTCCAAGGGCCAAGATGATCTGGAAAAGCAAGAGAGAAAAGAAGGCCTCATCAGGAGAGCGTCCCAGGTGCTAGAAGGCAGCTGGCATGGTGGCTCGCCATGAACAGAACAAGAAAACTGCACTTGCCTCCAGAATTTTCTTGAGCTTTTGAGACGACTTGATAGAAACAGATGCAGCTATAATTGCGTGAAGTTGCTGGATTCCAATTAGAAGGAAAGACAGGGAAAGACTATTAAAAATGGCAAACTAACTGGGAACTAAGAACTAACTATGCCCTAGGTAACCCTAGTATTACATATGCTCTTCTCAAAAGTTACTCACAGTAACAAGTAATGTGGGAAACTGTTTATCTGTATCCAACCCATAACCAGTAAGCTTTCAAGGTAGGAGTTAACAGCCTGTTCTGAATAGTTCAGTTCCCAGTGCATCACCTCTAATCATACATAATTTATACTTTTAAAACACTAGAGACGTCCAAGAATGCAAAGGGTAGGATGTGGTGGAAGGGCAGCAATATAACATTCTCTAGAAGTTCTCAAAACAGGCTTTGGACAAATCTGCTGCTGTAAGCAGTAACTAAGATTATTTGAGAAACAGAACCAACCGAGGACAAATTGATGTTCCTGACATTCCTAAGTATCTGCCAGACTAACACGGGGAATGAGATAGCTGACTATTATTTATTTGTATATCACCACAATCTACTTCATCTAAGTCCCAAAGATAAAGCATCCTCTGGCGAAGCCAGTGCTCCCAGAAATCTCTTGAGTCTGCTGCTCACTAAAGATACAGAGTTATTTGGGGAAATGAGAGTCACATTTCTAGTCTTGCCAAGAAGGAACTGGTTTTTAATGTCCTCTGTACTAAAGTTATCTGAAAAGCAGAGGATACTTACAAACACAGAAAACAATATTCTTTTTGGGAGAGCAGCCATATATAGAGATTTGGATTCACACTATGAAAATGAGAGCTTAAATACAAATGTAATCTATAAAGTTCTGGAAGGACTCTTTAGAACCCATATCAGATTAGTAATTCAGAGAGATGTATAAAAATAAATGGCTATCTTTTTGTACTTCTGCCCTGGTCAACTCACAGGAGTCAGCATCTGAATGCTTTCTGCAAAGTTCCCAATGAAGGCCATGATGGTCATCTTCTGCATGAGCCGCTCAATCTTACTGAACTGCATCATGAAGCGGTCTTCGTCTGACAAGTTCTCCAAGGGCTTTCTCTCTCTCTCATAGAGTCGGAGCACTTTCACCTCATTCTCAGTTGGCAAGAACCTCATCAAACATTCAACAAAGTCAACTGGTAATGTCTTCAAGTCGAATCTGAAATCAGCACCGACAGGTCAGTCAGTGTTCTATCCCCATCCAATCCAGCTCACCTACCACCAAGTCAACAGGCCTTGGATTCGGACAGCTGTACTGCTGAAGCCCCACCCTGGGGCTGGTCCCCACTGAGCACCAATTACCCCAACTGATGACCCAGCCTCTCCTCCAGTTTGAGTGCTATTATTTTAGGGCTCAGGGTGGAAATAAAGAGTAGAACGCAGCATCAAGTATTAAGGCTGGAGCATAGGCTGGTAATGCAGTCCAAGGACAGGGTTTTAGACTCTGTGAACATCTGGGGAGCTTTGTAAGATGTTCCTGTCATTACTTTGCTGTCTCTGAAGACGAAACTCAGCCAAATTCCCATTCTTTACAGATCCTTTGATGTAGGTACATACATTCCTTGAAGGAATATCAGTTCTTGGAAGATGTTTGCTCAGTTTGAACAAGTATTTGCTTAATTCCTATTTTATTCTCCAGACAATGTTTGTTCAGCAAAACAATGGAATTACCCATACATTAGTATGGTAAACAAGGTATATGAGATTAAAACCCAGATCGCATACTGGTTTCACCAGGTTTCAATATTGGAAATCAGAAAAGATTGCAGAAAACTGTAGTAGATTATGACCCTGGCCAAAGACACAAAATCAGAGCAAATGATCTCTTAGGGCTCGGTAAGATCACCAGTCAGAAATTCTAAAATATCAAATTATAAAAAATGATTTCTGAAAACATCAGTAACATCCCTGGCTACAAGAAGAGTGGGAAGATTTTTCTAGTAGATAAACAAAACCATTACCATCTGTGCAATGTATAAATTAAAAAAAGAGAGAGAGAGAGAGAAAGAAAAAGCCTTGTTTAAAATGACCAGGAAGTACTAAGAGCAAAAGAATTCACATTCCTGTTGTCATGAATTAAAACATACATCTGTATCATATTTGCAACTAGCATTGAACTGTATCATTCCACAGATGCCATCAAATTTGGATTCAGCAAATCTGGATACTATCCAGATCCTCCAGAGAAAACCACCATTTCTCGCTTTCCTCAGGATCTGCCCCACTCAGCTCTACTTCCCTTTTATGTGAGCACTACTGTAGACCTATACATAGGAACAGAGCCAAGACAATAAATGCTATCCCAAGTTAGATGTTCTCCTAGACCAGTGGTTCTCAACCTTCCTAATGCTGCGACCCTTTAATACAGATAGATCCTCATGTGACGGTGACCACCAGCCATAAAATCATTTTCATTGCTTCTTCATAACTCTAATTTTGCTACTGTTATGAATCGTACTGTAAATAACTGATATCAGGATATCTGATATATGACCTCTGTGACAGGGTGGTCTGACCTCTTAAGGGTTGTGACCCACAGGTTGAGAACTGCTATTCTAAACTGCCAAATGACACACGGATGTGGTGCTTCCCTGGGCACCTTCTGGTGCAGTGCTTTGGTATTAGCATCTTCATTCTGAAGCAACAACACATGAGGGGCAAGGGGAGCTCTGGAGTGGGTACCAAGAATTCCTCCGTCTTTGCACCTAGATCTTGCCCCACTATTTCCATTATCTGCTGATTTGCCCCTTGTTTTCTTCCTTAGGCTGAGCTCTCTAGGATCTACTTTCCCTACAGAAACTTACACGTGAATAGCTTTGCATATCTCATCGGCAGTCTTCCCAGCTTTCCTTAAAGTTATGGCAAGATTTTTGGCTCTATTTGCTTCTAATAATGTCACTTTACTTGATCCCTTCTGTGGTATTTTCTGCTTGCTTGAAGAAAGATCAATGGCAGGCCCTTGGGCTTTTGTTTTGAAGATTTCCTCAAATTCGTCCACATTTAAATCCTAGAGTGGAGAAGGATGACATTGGCAAATTGGATCATACATTAAAATGAAGTCATTCCCAGTTAGCAAAACCCTCATCATTTAGACATTCTCTTAAGCAAAGGCCTTCCATTCTGTTGAGTGCTTACCCTGCATGGCTTGCTACACTTCTGTTTATGTTGGGTACCTATCACATCCTATCACATAGCCAGAAGTGAATGTCCAGAGAATACCCAGTCTAACAATCCAATTCTGTTGCTTTCAACAGTTGGTTTACACAGACATCTGCCACAGGGTAAATCCATGAAACCTGACAATCAGTACAGTTGCTGAGTCCTTAACCAGCACAGTTCAATAAAGGCTGTCTATGTTCTTATAAAGGACGGGGCTGTGCCAGACATATATTTTGTGGCAAATACTGAAGATACTCAAAACTATTATTTTAACTTAATATTTTAGACATAGTTTAGAACCCTCTTATAAAATCATGTCTAATTTATTTGTCGACAGTACAAATCTATTTGTTCTTCACATTAGAGTACAGAAACATTAGACCTCTGCCAGTAATGCTTGCAGGCAAACAGGGCAGCCTTCTTTGCTCTGCAGCAGAGTGTGCACCCCTAATTTATCATCAAGGAGAAAGATACCTCTAGGATCCGCTCATCATCGATTTCATTGAAGACTGTGCCATTGATCTGATTGGGCTTGAGAGCAACCCAGTTAAATACTGGCATTCTGAACTTGGTCTTGATCGGCTTCTTAATTTTCACAGCTGAAGATGTCAGAAATAATGAAATTAGTCCTGTCTAGAAGCTCACAAGCTGCAGGTACAATTAGACGACAGTCCTTGCAGATGACGCTTTAACACTGGAGGAAGACGGCAAGGGCACCCAGGTGATGCTAAGTGCAGAGAGCACCTGGTCTGGGCCAGAGCCACTCAAGGTCCCCATTGGATTGTGTGACACTGGACTATTAGAAAAGCTGTCTAGGAGTCAGGGATTGAGTTTATTGGTTTTGCTGGGGCTATGAGATTATTGCTTTCTAGTTACAATATTAGACAGTGTGATTATAGAGCAGAGGGAAAATGCTATCTTAAATTTTGACATCTTCAACTCTTGTTCCTAGGACATGTGTTTACAAATAAGCCTTAAAGGACAGGCAGGGACTGCAGAGAGGACTGCCTAACCCACCAGGAAGATCACAGCAAGAATAATGATATTCAGCCAGGAAAGCACACTCCTGTGGGTGACTGTGATAATGACATTACACTGGTTGCTGGGTCATTTCCCATAGACTAGGGACCATAAATGGCCTATGTCGGAGAACACTGACGAAGACAGAAGGGGCATGCAGAAACCATAGGCTCCTCAGGAATGCCACAGTCCCCTTCTCCCCTTTTGAAAGATTTATCTGTTTATGTATTTCATGCATATGGGTACTTTGTATGTACATCTTCATACCAGAAGAGGGCATCAGACAGTTGTGAGCTGACCTGTGGGTTCTGGGAACTGAACTCAGGACTTTGGAAGGTCAGTGAGTGCTCTTAACCACTGAACCATCTCTCCAGCACCCACCCCTTCTCTCTTTTTTAAACAAGTCAGCTATCTTTATCTAGACACTGTCAGTGAAATGGTTAAATATACTGAATCAGAGAAGATGGCATCGAATATTTACAGGCTAAAGAGGATACAAATACCTCTCATTTTTGAGAAAGCAAGCTTAAAAAGATAACCACTTACAAATTCTATATATTAATTATACATCATAAACAAGGCTTTCCAAACCATACATATCTCCCTACATCAAGCTGTTCTGGGCCGCCCACCTGCCAGTGTGAGCCTCACTATTCACCATCATTAACAGGAAAGGGGAGAGAAAGTCAGTGCTTCAGGACAGAACAAAACAAAGGTGACCAGGACCTGAGCTTTTATTAGGCAGGCTACCTGCCTCCATTGATATTTACTGAAAAGGGAGACAGACAGTGCCTCTCATTCCTCCAGAGTTACAAAGGCCATAGAAAGAGAAGGAATGTCATCAGATAAGTCCACACAGAAGCATGCAGCAACACAGAGACACAGCTTTTGCCAAAACAGGCTTTCTATCACCAAACGTGGCATCCTCATCCCCATTATCAACAGTGTTAGATTCCTGGTCAGACCTTTTGTCTACACTACCCAGGAGAACCAATGTCCTCTACAGACAAAGGCTTTCTCTAACTGGCCCTTCATCCACCATGGGGAGGTGGGTAGGGTGTCAATAAGGGAGACAGATGTTGAGAGAGGTATCACTTCTACTCAAGGAAGGAAATTTTTCCTGACTTCACCTAGGCATAGGGTGTAGTAGACAGCAGGGGCCCACAGGTGGACGAGGACATACACTGTGACCCCAGGACTCAGACTGAAGAAAGTGACTTTAAATGGGTGGTTGTTCTAAACAGTGAGCCACAGGCAGTGGGGAGGGTCCTGGAAAGGAACAGCCAACGTTTCCCCTTATTCTCCTTCTTTCCTTAGAGTCTAATCCTCTTAGAGTAGGGAGGTCAGAACTGACCATGAAAACTGAATGCTAAGAAAGAAACATTCCTTCTCTCAAAGGGAAGGAATGGAACATGGCCTGGGAATCTAGGTCCTGCCTAAAGGAGGATCTGCAGATTGAGCTGAAACGTGGGCAAAGCTGGAGTCACAGTCAGCCAACACCCAGACTTCCCTGAGACACAACGTCAAATGCAATGGCTCAAGGTAGGATGGAGTGGAGAGATGTCAAGGCACAGGGTGACCAACAGAACACACAGCAAATACTCAACACACTCGGTGAGGAGCAACCTACAGAAAAGCTTGATTGGCCCATCTTTTGTGGAAGCAGAAAGAACAGAAAATACAAAATATATATATATATTAGATACAGTTAGAGTCAAGTGGCCCAGCAGTTCTCACACACTTAGCATAGAATTTCATGCTTCGTGGACACATTTCAGCAGCACAAAGCCAAAACTCCATTCCCCTGCCTTTGAAGACTCACTTTGTGGTTTTGTTTATGTTTCTGTATTTCCCCCCCTCTCTGGGAGAAAGGAAAAACAAAAAATTTCACTGTAATGGTCCCAAGCAGCCATAATGAACTGCCTATTCCATAGGCTGTAAACAGTTCTTAGTAACAGAGAATCAGCCACAGTTGAACAGCGAGAGGACGCAAGCCTCTCAGAGAGCAAAGGCCACCAACTGCACAGGCAGCCTGGCGCAGGTGACCCACCTCAGGAGGGGATCAGACTGTCCATTAGACTTGCAGATGTGTTGACACTTCAAGTAAAGATTTTCCACTACTACAATTTTCCTTATAAAATTCAAGCAATTTTCTCAACTAGAGATACTCTATGGGACTTCCTCCTGATTTCCTTCTGTGGCCATGCCTGTCCAGGGCAGAGCTGGGTATCTGCCGCTGTGGACCTACTGGCTCGGATTTTCCGAAGTACAGGACATATCAGCTCATCACTGCCTCTCAGTTCTCCTGAGACACCCTGACTCTGTCAGGCCTCTGCATTCCAGAGAGATAAATCTTTGAACATATGAGGAGAATATTTTAGAAAATTAGCTTCAATTACTATGCACACTGAAAGCCAAATTAAGGATAAATATTAAGGAGATTAGGGGCCCTGCAGAAAATTCCTAATCCCAAGTTACTGAACACTTATAAGGACTTTGCAATTTTATAACACAAGATATATCTTATAACCATTACGGACATTTAATGAGACAAAGAGGTCTCCTTCAATCTATGGAACTATAGAAATCTACTTTGCTTAAGAACAATGGCGACTTCTACCTAGGAGGAGTCTGAGAGCAGCCGTTAGAAACTGAGCAGAGAGCACTGCACCATAAATGTAAGATACTCCAGAGTCAATAAATTTAAAAATGAAGTAGTGGCAAAGGCCTAAGACAAAACAAAACAAAAAAAGGGGGGCCCGGCCTTTTAGAAGAAAGCTGCGTCCGACTGCAGCCTCAGCCGCAGCTCACTTCCCTGCCACAATGTCTGAGTTCTCTTTAGCTCGTGGGAATGCAAGCGGATGCTGAACCACACGTTAGCTTTTGCAATGGAGGAAGAAGCAGCTCCAGGTGAGGCACAGTAGACACATGTCACAGAGAACGCTCATCCAGGGCTACAAGGAAAGCTTAGCCAGCAGCCCAGGTGCACAGGACAACGGTGGCAGCCACATTCGGTCACCCAGAGCAGCCTGGTGACAGAGCGGACACCCAGAGACTGTGTGAGGCTTGCCATTTACATCAACAATCCAACAGTTCCACGGTGACTCTCCTCCACCTCTCCTCTTCCGAAGCACTAAAAGCTCTAGAAGAAAGTATTAACAGGGAAGACCTTGAAGGGTAAGAATAAGTCGCAAATTTACCGTGAAACTGAACAGGCATCTTATTGTATCTTTGATAATTTTATAGATGTCAGCATGGCAGTAGACTCACAGACCTGAGGTGGGCAAATCTGCTTTAAGAAACTTACAGAAGGCCGAAAGGGTTGCAGTCACTTGGAAGAATTATCAGGACGGGGCACAGGGGTGCAGATAAAGCTGCTGACAAAACCCTAGGATGGACTGAGGAAGAAATCTTTATCCTAAAGACTGTCATTTTGACTTGGATACTTCAGAAACCATCTCAGCCTTGGACCTAGAGGCCAGCAGGTAGCGGTTCACAGTAACTGATGGTTCAAGAATGGGTGGAAGTGGACCCAGTATCACAGAGACAGCCACCTCACAGCAGAGGTGCCCAGGATCACAGGGACAGCCACCTCAGAGCAGAGACACCCAGGATCACAGGGACAGCCACCTCAGAGCAGAGGTGCCCAGGATCACAAGGACAGCTACCCACCTCAGAGCAGAGGTGCCTGGGATTACAGGGACAGCCATCTCAGAGCAGAGGTGCCTGGGATTACAGGGACAGCCATCTCAGAGCAGAGGTGCCCAGGATCACAGGGACAGCCACCTACCTCAGAGCAGAGGTGCCTGGGATTACAGGGACAGCCATCCACCTCAGAGCAGAGGTGCCTGGGGTCACAGGGACAGCCATCCACCTCAGAGCAGAGGTGCCCAGGGTCACAGGGACAGCCACCTCAGAGCAGAGACACCCAGGATCACAGGGACAGCCACCTCAGAGCAGAGGTGCCCGGGGTCACAGGGACAGCCATCCACCTCAGAGCAGAGGTGCCCAGGGTCACAGGGACAGCCACCCACCTCAGAGCAGAGATGCCCGGGGTCACAGGGACAGCCACCTCAGAGCAGAGATGCCCGGGGTCACAGGGACAGCCACCTCAGAGCAGAGGTGCCCAGGGTCACAGGGACAGCCACCTCAGAGCAGCACTACCTAGTGTCACATAGATAGCCACCGTAAAACACAGCTACCCAGTAGCCCAAAGTGCCAACGTCAGAGCAGTGTTAGTGTGTTGGTTCATTTTTCGGTCAACTTGGCACAAGTTAAGAGTCATCTTGGGGGCTGGAGAGATGGCTCAGCGGTTAGGAGCACTGACTGTTCTTCCAGAGGTCCTGAGTTCAATTCCCAGCAACCATATGGTGGCTCACAACCATCTGTAAAGAGATCTGGTGCCCTCTTCTGGCCTGCAGGCGTACACGCAGGCAGAACATTGTATACATAATTAATAAATAAATCTTTAAAAAAAAAAAAAAAAAAAAAAAAAAAAAAAAAAAAAGAGTCATCTTGGAAGAATGAGCATCCACTGAGAAAATGTCTCCATTAGACTGACCTGTAGGCAAGATGTGCGGTGGTTACTGATTAATGATTGATGTGAGAGGGCCCAGCCCATTGTGAGCTGTACCGGCCCTAGGTCCTCACGGAAGAGAGCAGGTGGAGCAACATGAGGAGCAAGCCAGGAGGTCGCATTTCTCTGTGGCCTCTCAGTTCCTGCCTCCAGCTTCCTACCTTGAGTTCCTGCTCTAATTTGCCTCCATAATAAACTGCAAGCTAAAATAAACCCTTTCCTCCCCAAGTTGCATTGGTTATGGTGTTTATCACAGCAATAATGAAATGCAAACAAAGACAGTTACATAGTCCACCCAAGAGGAGAGCTGACTGGTATCACAGGGATAGCTACCTCCAAGCAGGGTGACTCATTATTACAGAGAAAGCTACCCAGCATCAAAGGATGATAACCTCAAAGCAGTTCTCGGTATCACAGGGCAGCCAGTTCAGAGCAGAGATTCCCACAGTACAGGGCGGCAACCTCAGCACAATGCTGCCCACTATCATAGGAACAACCACCTCAGAACAACTCCAAACTCTAAGTGACACTCTAACTGAAATGGCTCAGTGTTAAAGGGTAAAATTTCATCTCCAAGGGTCAAAAATAGTAACTTGTTTTAAGGCTTTGGAGCAATTCTCTTCCCCTCTCTCACCTGTCTTCCTTTTATTTCTGGTAAAGTAGGCATACCCTTCTGTCCTGGTGAGCAGGAGGACATGAATTACTTGGAAGCTTTTCAAATCCTAAAGAAACTGCTGTTAGTATCACTTCCCCTTGAAGCTTAAAGCTAGCAAATTCTGACACCTACAAATGTTCAGAAGACATGCCTGCAAGCCTGTATCAGGCATTTACCCTAATGACATGTTCTCCTTTACATCTGACACTCCAAATATCTTAAAAAAAGAATAATATTCAATATTAGCACCTAACCTAGAGCTTTGGCCACTGTAGGTAAAGACGGTGGAAGGCTGGGTGACAAGGTCAGAACTCCTGCTAGGAAGAGTGTGACAAAGGCTACTCAGAGGACAGTGCCTCTCATGTATGACAATGTCCCCTTCACCAGTTATATTAGCAGGAATGTCCTCCTAAGGGATGTGTACAGATGAGGAAGATCTAATTGCTGAAAGAACAGTTTGAGTTCTCCAGAGGGAGAGAAAGCAGGATTTTTCACACAAGTACCTCTGTTTTCATCCCGTGTTCTCACCTGCTAATCCTGAGTTGAAAACTACTGTGGGTGAAGAAGTCCCAGGCAGTGGGGGTGCAGAGGGAGGAGGGGGTGGTGGGAGAGGAGGAGCTGGCACAGTCTCAGCTGCAGGACCTGGGAGTGGAGGGGGTGGGGGTGGGGGAGGAGGGGGTGGAGGGGGTGGGGGAGGAGGGGGTGACATAGGTGGCGATGCTGGTCCGTTTGGCGCTAGAGAAAAGAACAAAATGTCATGTGCACATAAAGCATGAGAAAATTGGGCTGGCCAGACGGTTCATCAGGTAATGCTAGTTAGATCCTGGGAACCCACATAAAAGTGGGGCGAGGACTGACGCTACAATGTGGCCTCTCATCTCTACGTGCATACTGTGGTATACACCCACACATAGACATCACTATACACAACAATAATAAGCAATTAAAATTTTAAAAGAAAATAAAGTGTGTGAAAAAAGACCATTTAAATTGGTAAACATTTCCTTACTGACAAATGGGGAAATAGTAAACGTAAGTGACATTTAGATTCACAAATGTAAACTTTTTGTTGTAACTAGTGTATCTTCATTGTGTGTGTGAATATGTGCACACGAGTGCAGGGCCTGCAGAGGCCAGAGGCAACAACAGATCCTCTGGAGCTGGAGTTACGGGGAGTTGTGAGCCACTCTATGTGGGTGCTGAGGCCAACTCAGGTTGTCTAGAAGAGCAGTACATACTCTTAACCACTAAGCCATTTTTCCAACTCCTCAAAATGTAATGTTTCTTAAGATAAGGAAAGGGACATACGAAGGGAAATCTCTACTCTCCCCCACAAACCATCTTACCTGCTTCAGGCATGTCTGATGATGGAGGTAGTGGTGGAGGAGGAGGGAGTGAGGATCCTGAGGAGGTGGCCCCTGTAACTGGTCCTACATAATTACCCACTGCTAGTTCTGACCCCATGGGCAATGTGCCAGAGGCCACAACTGGCAGTATGGCAATGTCCCCATCTCCTTTCTTCTGAATTTTAATGGTCCCTTGTTTCTCCAGTTCATGAATCTTTTTTTCCAGGGTAGACTGTCTTTGAATGGCTTCTTCCTTTTCTTTGACCATTTTCCTTAATGTGTGAACTTGGGTATTTGCATCTTTGTAGATTTCCTGCAGAGAAAAGAGGTCATGGTCAGGATTTTGACTTCATAGGGTATTCCCAGTTACACCTGCTAGGCATGCCAACTGAGGTGAACAGGTGCAGAGAGAGCACACACACACTCTGGTATCTGGGGAAATCTCTGGAATTCAGCCAGTACATATGGAGTCCCAGGAATTACCAATTGAACTAATAATGCATGCAATGTATTCTAGCATTTGCTATTGTTAATGAAGTCCTTTCCCTTTCATAAGTGGAGTTAACTCCATTTTCTCCATAGGCAGAAAAAGACAGAGCAGAGATGACTTTATCCCCCAAATTGGATTTGGAACATCCCATGGGTATCCTGGTGGTTCATCATGCTTTCTTTCACTAATTATGAAATTTATTTGTAACTACTAGACACACATTAACAAGAGATAGAGGGCCCTAAGTCAGACTTTAACAGAAATCAGACTAGGATTAAAGCCTCTGCAAAGGCTGGATGTGGTGGTGCACGCCTTTAATCCCAGCACGGTGGAGGCAGAGGCAGGCAGATCTCTGTGAGTTTGAGGCCAGCCTGGTCTATGCAGTTTTTCAGGCCAGCCAGGGCTATATAGCAAGACCCGTTCCCAAGATAATATAGAATAAATAAGCAAAAAAAAAATAACTCTGCAAAGCCTGTGGTGACCTATTCATGAGTGACCAGGAGCTGGGGCACAGCTGGATTTCTCTGGCTCTTAGAAAAGCTCCTTGACTGAGCTCAAGACAGCAATTGCTGGAATAGTTTTCCTTTGGTGATACATTTAACAAAACAGCCCAAAGCTTCCCACCACTAATTACTTATCTTTCTCAAAGTTTAGAGTACAAACCAAAGTTAAATTTCAATCAAAGGCTGTCCTGGCTATTTCCATTCAGAGTCCATGGATATTCTGGAATGAGTGCCTTTGTGGAACTCAACTTTCTTGCTGGGCCTTGCATGTGTTATCTCTCACCACAGACCTCCAACAGACATGAAAACATCCTTCACACCCTGTCTATCATTAATAATCTAAGTGCCTGAACTTGAATAGAGCCCATATGCCACAACTTTGTCTTGATGGTCTGCCAGAAAATAAGTATGCAAAGCTAACTGTAGGGCGTGCTGGAATACCAAACAGCACACACAGCCATGCTAACCATCACATACAATGTGCCATCACATTAACCATGGTGTGAAGGCACCACGTGCCTGAAAGCCCTCCATGCATGTTGGTTTTATGTTCTACGCAGTTGCAAACACATGGATGGTACTCCATAAATGCCCGACACTTAGAGTGAAGGGACAGGACGGCAAACCAAACAGCGAGGATTATCTGGTGATACAAGGCACTGAATGTGGGGTTTGGTAAATACCTTTAGATCTACCCTGTGCAGTGAATTCTTTCCATACAACCACCAAATCTGGTTTTGAGTAAAAGCAAAGGAAGTAAATACAATGAAGTCCAAGTCCTAATAAAAATAAATATGTGGCGTGAATTACATGCATGCTTTGTTTTTATTTACAACCACATGGAGGATCAACAGAATCAACTCAGCCTCCCCAAGATGGGAAAACATTGCTGCTCCCAAAATGTGTAATAAGGAAATACTGAAGCTGGAGTTTTTGATTTTGCACACATGTGTGCAAATACCTTATGTGTACTTTTGGGTATCACCTTTGAGATGGCTGCAATACATACACTGTATCAACGCATTCTTCTAAAATGAACATGCGCCACACTGGACCAGCCTAAAGCTGAAGCACACTGAATTCTCTGCCATGCCTATCTGGGTAGCTGCTGCCAGCACACTTACCCGGACAACATCCAGTTCCTTATTCCTCTGCATGAGCTGCTTTTCCAGTTCCACAATCTTGGACATGGCTTCATTCTCCGTGTCCTGCAGCTTTTCAGACAGCTGAGAAATTGTGACAAAGAAACAGTGTCACAACACACATCATTCTGACCAGGTCCTAGGGTCCTCAGAAGTATATGTCCCAGACAAACAGGGGCCCACTTGAGTCTTGCACATATTCTACAGGTTACTTTCTGGAAACATTAATTTCTATGGTTCTGAAGACATACTTGTTTCCATCAAAATTAATAACGCATATGTAGCCTCCATAAAACCCATACAATAGCCTCTCCGTGTTTGAACATGCACAGCCATGTCTCCCTCCGTGTCCTGGGGCTAACAAGAGTAGAAAAAATGAAGATGAGCGCAGTGTGGAGGGCCACTTCCCACCCACAAAAAGGACCATCATGCAAAAGCTGCTGTTGAATGTCGATCCAGAGAACACGGCCGTGTCATTGTAGTCAGCTAAATAAAGTCCTATGGCTAGCTTTAACCCAAACTACCCTAATAACGGCAGTTACTTCTATAAAACCCAATGTAGAATGGCTCCACAATGCTGGCCGGGGAGGGATGAGGGGGGAAAAAAGTCATGTGCTAAGTAGTTCCTCGTCACAGAAAGTTCTTCAGTCAAGCAACTTCTCATTTCCCACTGGACATAACCCCAGGCAATGGCAACCATGGAGGCAAGGCAGGAGAGTGGACAGAGACTCACAGGTTAAGAGTGTAGTTTCAAAGAAAGAGAGAGAGAAGTCAAAAAAAAAAGAAAGAAAACAATTTTTTTTCTTTTTCTTTTGGTTTTTCGAGACAGGGTTCCTCTGTGTAGCTTTGGTGCCTGTCCTGGATCTTGCTCTGTAGATCAGGCTGGTCTCGAACTCACAGAGATCCACCTGGCCCTGCTTCCCAGTGCTGGGATTAAAGACGTGCACCACCACCACCCAGTGAAAAATGATATTCTTACAAATAGAAACAATTCACTTCATAATAAAGAAAAATTCAAATCAAATCATGACAAGAATTTTGTTTTCAAAAGCTCACTGGTATAGTACTTCCTCACAGGAGGCCTGAGGTACATACACTATTGGGCAGGGGAACAAGAATTTAAGCCTTCACAATGCTTGGGTTTTTGAGAAACACTGATCTCTATTTATTCTTCAATATGAAATATGTTAACATCTCAAAGCTTTTGGGTTCATATTAACTTGTTTGTGGTTAATAAATTTCCTTTCAAGAAAATTAGGACCCTGTCTTGCTGTGCAGTTGCCGTTATCCCAAGAGGGCTTGCTTCTTCCAAGACGGCCACAGCTGACAAAGCTTAGTGACCTCCTCCCATAAAATGTCTACAGCCGGACTGAGCCTGGGCAGACTCTGAGGGACTGCTAAGGAAGGAATGGAGATGTGCAGCAGCAGGGACACAGGCAGTCCTGACCCCCGGGCTGTGATGGCGCTTTGAGAAAGCCAGTCATCTGGAGACTTTCATCAGGTCCCACCCTCTTCTCATCTCCCTTTAACCCTTATACTGCCAACCATCCTGCTCCTCTGGGTGGCCAACTATGATTGCCGGTGCATGTGACTTGGGAGAAAAGGAACAGGAAGTTAAGTGGAAACAAAGCATGTGTTTCTCCTGTAAGGAACATACCTTCCTTCTTTAAAGGACCCAGAGGGAATCTGAAGGCTCTCCGGCCCAGAAGCTGCTCATTCCTACACTCCATTCCTCCCACAGTTAGCACTAGCTCATCCTGGCCCCAGGGCACTTTCCCCTGAGATGCACGTACATGAGAGATGTTTTCTTCCAGTTCCTCCACCCGCTCCAAGGCTGCATTCTTGGTTTCTGCATCTTCCAGCAGGGCTCCCACGTCAAACACATTGTCTAGGTAAGCCTGAATCTGTACCTGCAGCTTGTCACTCTCTGTGTGTTTCAGCTTCTAAACACCAAAATTCCAAAGAAGATGGTATTAATTTACCTGTGGACACAGAATGTCATACCCAACCCTCTACTCATTCTGATCCACTAGAGTTTAACACATCATCCTGAAGAGAATTATAGCATATCCCTATGAAGAACGTATGACCAGACTATTTCCCAGACACACACACACACACACCCACACACACACACCCATACAAACATGTTATATATACACCTATAAACATCTCTCAAATCCTTCCTACTCTAGCCTAAAACATTTTCATATAGGTAAAATCCAGACCACAGAGACATAAAGGAGGATTTGAAATGGAATAGCCACACGCCCTGTGAACGTGAAGGGGTGTCTATGGAGAAGGCTGCCGTGGGGAACACCTTACCGGGACGGGGATTGGAGGCTGCGGGCAGAGTACAGTTAGCTAGGGCTGCCAGCTGTGTCCCTCCTTGATTTTTGGTTATTTTAGTACACACTGCTAGAACTCACCCGCAGGATTCCCTTCCTAAGATAGTGCCTGCATGAATAGCTCAGGGCTCCTCAAAGCATGAATCAGAAAGCATCTTCCAGTTCACTAGATCCCAGACCAAGGATCCTAAAGCAACTCAGCTAGCTATTTCTCTGGTGACACTAGAAGCTCGAGAAATCAGAGAATCTTCCCAGGAACCACACACTGGACTTGCTCTGGGAAACTGTGGGGCCAGAATAATATCTGACACATAGATGATGCCAATAAGTTAACAAACATCAATGACCACTTGCAAAGAAGGCTGTCTTTGTAAACAAAGAAAATATCTATATATTAGATGCCTATAAGATTGTTCTTCTAACGGTCTCTATCCATCAGGGTCCAAGTGCCAACATAACACAATTATAGAAGTTCAGGGTTGAGAGGTTGGTATTTTTAAGAGAAAATTCAGATTACATAATTTCTTAAGAAAAGTAATTTTTCTCTTAGGTTTAAATTGAAAACTTACAGATTAACTTGTTTTAAAGAGAGTACATTCCATCTTAGTTTAAAAATCAGACATGAAAAAAGAAATATGAATCTAGCGCAAGAAAACAGCGAGAAACAGAGAAGCAGCAGCTACACTCGACTTTCCCAAGATTCACAGTAAACAACGGATGTGCACCAATGTCGTTAGCTGCCATGACAATCTAGAGCCCAGAGCAAAACCTCACACAACTGAACCTGCAACACTGATAGGAACTCACATTCCTCATTTCTGTTCAAATTCTGCAAAGTGTAGAGCATGGGAGAGAAAAGGATAAACTTTAATCTCAAAGCATGCCAGAGGTGGGGAAAAGGTCAATACTCTGCCCTCCAATAAAGTGGGTGCAAGGTGTGTGCTTCCCTAGAGTCATGCCTAACAAAGATGAGCAGCTGAACTCTGGACACAGCAAAGGGAAGGTGTTCCATCATTTCCCTATCAGGAAACAGCCCTGTCCTGCCACTAGTGGTCTTCCAAATTCAACTGAACCATTCCCATGGGACAGGGAAAACAAAAGCTTCCTGACAAAGAGGGGCACATCTAGTGGACACAAAGGTACTGGAGTACATCTCTGAATACCAAATATACTTTGTTTCTTTATTGAGGAACTCCAGGGAACTGGCCCGGCACTTCTGTGAGGTAGCCAGAAACAGAAACTCAACTCCTTTCTCCCAAGAAGTGAAAGTGTGTGTGCTACAGCAACAGACACTTGAAGCAGAATTCGCAGCTTCAGGAAGAAGTCTCTGGTGTCCACGTCCTCATTAGGTTTTTATGTTCTATGCATTAACTCATTCTACAACATTCTTGGCTTGATCTTGCCTGCTTGGATAGGGTCCCAAGAGTGCCCCCAAATCAAACGTTTTCTCCAGTTTTGATGAAGGATGCAAAGAGAGCTGACCCAGACAGAGCTTGAAGTAAAGTTGCATCAATGCTCCCAGGGGTGGTCTAACTCGAGTACTAAAAGGCTGCAGGCAATGGACCCACAGATGTCCCAGGAATTCAGTAAATAATCCAGCTTTGCTGGCAAGCTGCATCATTCCAATTGGCTCCATTTAACTAGCATGGCAATTGTTAACCACATAATGCTTTAGACATTCTTTATAGTTACTATGGAAATAAACCTCCGAGAATAGGCAATAAATCCACTCTGAAAATGACACCAGAAAAGATAGTTATACTCACGTCCAGGTACTCATCCAGGCCTAACTTGGTAAATTCATACTGGAGGTGAACTCTGAAGTTCATGTCTTCTACCGAATGGACTACAATGTTAATAAACTGCATAGAAGCCACCTGCAAGGAAATTTCCAAGGGGTTAAACCGGCTCCACATGCTTCCTCCCAATTTAAGCATGTCCAGAACATGCATTTATTTCACAAGTCTCAGTTTATACCAATTCCTTTTTCTTTAACATCAGTAAATCTTCAAAAAAAAAAAAAAACTTGTAATTTTTAATTCAAGAAATCAACGAGGCACCCAACAAGAAAGACACTACTTCACAGTCACTTAGAATGGCTATAATTTTTAAAATGTATATGATATTGGCAAAGATGTGGAAAAAACCAGCCCTCACCCATTGCTAGTGAGAATGTAAAATGATGCAGTCACTTTGAAAACACAAGTGACTCAAAAATGTTAAGTATGTGCCATGTGACTTAACAATTCAATTATCTAAGAGAAATCTGTCCACATAAAAAATTATAGACAAATATTCATAATACCATATATACCAACCAACTATGGAAAAACACACAATGCCCATCACTTGATGAATAAACAAAAGGAAGTGTAATCATATAATGGAATATTCGGTGACAAGTAGAATGAAGTACAACATGGATGAACTTGGGAACGTCACGGTAAATGAAAAAAATGCCAGGAAAAAAGGACCACCCATGGTATAATTTCACCCATATCAAATGTGCAGAGCACCCAAACTACAGAGATTAAAAGTAGATAGCAGATACTTAAGGTTGAAGCGTAGAGCACATGGGAAACAACTTTTAATGTCACAGGGATTCTTAAAGGGATGAACATGGTTATAATTGGACTATGAATGGTTAACACACATCAAATCATAAACTCTAATTTCAAGAAAGCTGTTCTTAAAAAATTATATAGGTATACAGAGCAAAGTACAAATTACAGCAGAGATATAGATCATATAAAATATGAAAATTAATACAAAGAGTAACATTCAAACCATGTTGAACCTCACTACAAGGCAATTACTTCAGCAAATTCACTTTGAGCTCTGTCTTACCAAAGGCTAGTAACGAATCCTATATACATCTTCTCATGCAATTTCCCAACTGCTAGATCACAAACATTTTGGTGTAGTGCTTCCTCCCAAAGGCTGGCCCTAAAACCTGTCTCAGGAAAAAGTCCATTCTCGGTTTAATAAGTAAAGGAATGGATTTCAGCAGCCCCATACTGTTTTCAACACTGACAGTCTATTGCCGGGAACAATGCCTTACTCATGTTTGCTCTCTACAGCGTGATCCAGCAGAGGCTTTAGGAAGAAGGGAAAACAATCAGGGACCAGATTCACAAGCCTTTGGAAAACCACTTACTGTCGCCACCCCCCCCCCCCCCCCCCCACACCGCCCCGACTCCCTGGGAATCAAACTCGGTCTCAGGCACATTAGGCAAGTCCTTGACCTCTGAGCTTTATTCCCAGCCCTCCCCATTATCTTTTTGTTGTTGCTTTTATTGAACTAATTCTTTTTAAAATATGCTATTGAAATAGTTAATGTTAATTTTCAACTTTACACATTCTAAAATCACCTGGGAAGAAAGTTTTTTGTTTTTGTTTGTTTGTTTGTTTGTTTTTTAGATTTATTTATTTATTAAGTGGAGTGTTCTGCCTGCATGTATGCCTGCAGACCAGAAGAGAGCACCAGGTCTCATTGTAGATGGTTGTGAGCCACCATATGGTTGCTGGGAATTGAACTCAGGAACTCTGGAAGGGCACCCAGTGATCTTAAGCTCTGAGCTATCTCTCCAGCCCAGGAAGAAGGTCTTAATGAAGGTCTATGTACATTGGGTCAGTCTGTGGGCACCTCTGTGGGGGATTGTCTTAATTAACTGATATGGAAAGATCTAGCCTACTCTAGGTGGTACCATTCCCTAAACAGTGGTCTTGAACTGTATATGAGTAGAGACATCAATGTGAAAACAAGCAAGCAAATAAGAAAGCAGGCATTCATCCCTGTTCAGCTATTGTTGTGATGGAATGTGATGGGATGTGATGGGATGGGATGGGATGGGATGGGATGGGATGGGATGGGATGGGATGGGATGGGATGGGATGGGATGGGATGGGATGACCAGCTGGCTCAGGATCCTGTGTGGTGACTTCTCTACGATGATAGTTTGTGACCTGGAATTGCAAGTCAGAAAAACTACTTTCTTCCCTAGTTGCTTTCTATCGGGTCATTTCATCACAGCAACACTAGAACTAGAGCAGTTATAGACTGGATAGCTTTGGAAGATGGCAGAAATTCTCTTCGTGGAAAAGGGACCCTCCTGGAATTTTCTGAAAAAGCAGTTTAGGTTCTCTAGTTAAACAAACTTTAAAAGAAAAAAAAAGTCAGCTTTTTTTTTTCCAGTTCTTTTCACCTATTAAAAAAAAACCCACAGAAAAGAGTCTCATACTATATTAAAGGAATTTATATCATTTAATATGGGGAATATATTGTTTGGGAAACTGGGAAATTCCATGGAAATCCCAAGAAAATTTATCAAAAGCCTCATTTTTTGGAAAGAAATAGCTAGACTGTTACATTTTTCCTTGTTGCTTCTAAAATCAAGTCTAAATGATCTGCTCTGAGTTTCATGATAGCCTATGAGCCAAGTATAGTATACAAGAATGATAACTTGAATCCCACAGCACACTGCACACTGTGGCCTGTGAACAAGGCCCTTAGAACCTGGACATAGGAGAAAGTAAAGTGACAGACAATGGGTTCCAGTGTGTATGCAAATGGCACAAGTGTTTTAAGGGACTTAGGAAACCCAAATGACCAGGTCAGCAGATGAGTGAGGTAGGCAATGCACATCACAGCAAATTGCAGAGAGGGGAATTCATGTTATACCAAAGCGGCAGGGGCTGCTTGGCTGTAGTAGCTAATAGCCAACAGGGAGGGTCTAAATAGAGTCAATATAGTTGGGGACTTTTAGTTTAAAAAAAGATCAGACTTCTATTTTCACGTACCATATCCAAAGATTTTCACGGAAGAAATGATTGTGTGAATAAGTGCACATGCCTTGCATAGGCTGGCCTCAGCCTTGGCTCTACCAGAACACCTCTGGAGAAGCCGTGTGCCCAGGGACAGTCACATACCTATCAACAACTTCAGCATCACTCACTCTAACGTCCCCCCAAATCCTAATAACAAGCATTCAAAAGTCATTGTAAGTGACACTTATTTTACCATTTAACATTCTTAAAAATAATTTAAAAAGCAAATGTCACATCTAACGGAACAGAAAAGCTCTATAAAGGATTTTACCTTCCTGATTTTAGAAAAAGCTGAGGCTAACATGCACAGAAATCTGAAGTCCAAGGAACCAGTTCTCACACGATAGAACTAAAGTGTGTCATGCATTACAGTCACTGCCGTGATTCAAATGAAAACATGATTTAGCTTCCAAAGCACAGGCTTTGCATGCAGCAACTGTTAGGATACCTAGTCTAGGGGCAAGTGATCCAGAGAAGGGACTCCTGGGTCCAGAAGTCTCCCTGGAAGACTGAACTAGGTCAAAGCCTGCAGCGGGGGCTGCACTGCAAAGGAATGACTCTTGAGCCCTGAATGAAGACTGAGGTGGAGTTCAGAAGGGCTGAACTGCCCTTGGGTGTCTTCCTAAGGACTCCAGGGCTCCTGCAGAGTCACAGGCTCCTGACTGTGCTCCAGACAGAGCAGGAAGGAAGCCCCAAAGAAGAGGGGCCATCAGCACTGGGTCCACTCAAGCCAATGGTCCACTGAGCAGAGCCAAGCACTTTAGTCCCCAAGCACGTGGTCTAGAGAGGTCACTGGCAGGGATCAAGAGCAAAAGGTCAAGGTTCCATTTGGCTTAGGATGCTATGTGGCACTGCTGGCAACTCAGCTTGGTGGCTGTGGGCATTCACACCAGGTCCTGACTTCCTTTACCCAACCACATGACTTTCCCTTTTGTCTGCTATAAATTATTAGCATTTTGTCCTTTAATCAAATGAGTAAAACTTGAAAGAGCACCACAAAGGAGCATACAGATAAAGGAAAACATTCTATTGAAGACTATTGAGCTCATTTTCCTGTTCTTTGTAGTGTGTCAATTTGAGTGTGGCATGTGTTTTCTGGGGGAAAGTGCTGAAATTGAGTTTGCATTGTTGAATGTAGTACCAAGATAACTCACCATAAAATCTATGTTATTATCTTCATTTCTGAAATGTTCCATCAACTTCTCAAAGCGCTGCTTTTCTCCACAGACCTGAAAGACACATTGTTATCATGCATATGACATTACAAACAGAAGCGTTCCAAAACTAGCTACAGAAATTTGAGTACTAACAATTACTTTCAGAATATTTTTTCTCTCCCCTTTATACACTCCGTACTTTTCTTCAAAGCCAGCTAGCTAGCAAATGGAGGCATGGAGCAGACCGGACACGGGTCCTTGGTTTCTTTTGCAGATGGTCTGGATGTTACCACATGTGTTCTTCAGTCAGGGTCTTGTTCTTCCCCAAGGTTTTTAGTGTGTATCCATAATAGAGTTCATAGTCAAAAACTGGCTATAGATTTCCTATGTTACCAAAGTATACTTCAGAAGAGATGCTAAAAGATTTAAATAATTTGGTGCTTAAACTCCTTGAAAGGAAGACTGACCATACTCTTATGTCTGTCTCGAATAATTTGAGCGCATGACACTGTTGCATAATTACAACACAGTGATTACAGGACAAAAAGAACACTCTGGGAACGGTTCTTCTTCATCCATTGAAGGTGGATATAGAAATTTGCAGTGAGTTATGAAGTTGTACCCTGCCAGCTTGAATCACACATATTTTAGCTCAAATTAATGTTTCCTTTGAGCATGTGAAAGAAATAGGCAAAGTACTCAAAACTCCAGGGTCCCAGGGTGTGGTACATGTACACGAACATTAAAGATAGGCAGTAAAAACAGTCAAATGTTTATATCCAAATAATACATACCTCTCTGAAGACTCACTCACAAAATCAAGGATGAGTCTTAATTCTGACATTGTCTTTGGGTAGTTTTGTTGAAACCAAACCCTATATCTACTAGCTAATTCATTCTGCCTTCAGAGAGTATTTACTTGAACTATATACATGCTGAATTAGGCTACACATGTTAATGAGCACATACTCTGATTTCATTTGTAATCCTAGGGCTATCAAGACAAACCCTCAAGAATTCTCCTAAATTGGCATTTCATGGTGTAATGATGCAGCCATTTAATTCAGTCATGGTAAATCCTATGTGGACATATATACAACTGAGAATGAGAACATTCACAGAGATAGGAATGCCATCTGTTTACTTCTCTTACATCTTCAGCATCTAGAAGAATACTTAGTGTGTTATAAGGTCTCAATAGTTGTCGAATTGTACTGAATAGAAGATAATACAATGAATTTTATCAACATACCCTTTACAAAGGGTAATGACAGACTTACTTCTGTTTGCCATCACATTTTACAAGAACAGAACCATCAGAGGGGATCGCAGACAGGAGTCTGAAGTGGATCTTTAGAAGAGGCTTCTGGGCCAGCAGTGATTCTGGGGAAGTGCAGGTGAACAGCCTTCACCCTTCAAGGACCATCACATCTTAACAAGACTAAGGTTTGCAAAGCAGAACAGAGTTTGCAGGATTCAGATCACTACTCCCCATTTACTTGGAACTGCCTACGGAGGTTTGAAAGAAAATGGCCCCCAAAGAGTGATAGTATTAGGAAGTGTGGCCTTGTTGGAGGAAGTGTGTCACTATGGAGGTGGGCTTTGGGGTCTCATACATGCATAAGATACCACCCAGTGTACGAGACCATTTCCTATTACCTGTGCAAGATGTAGAACTCTCAGCTACCATGTACCATGGTAGAGAACTACCTCCCCAGCACCCTGTCTACCTGCACATCACCATGTCCCACCATGATGATAATGGACAGAACCTCTGAACTGTAAGCTGCCACCTCAGTTTTAGTTTTTTTTATAATAACTGCCATGGTTATGGTGTTTCTTCGCAGCAATAGAATCCCTAACTAACACACAGAAGGAAGCAGGCAAAAGTACCTTGGCCTAAATACTGCCATTTTGACTTCAGACTCCATTTTACCTTCAGGGTGAGATAAAAGTTCAGGGTCCCAAGCTCTAGGGGAGCTGATAACTTTCCAATGGCTAACCAACCTCCTTCCTAAACCATAGAAATGGTCATTATGCATCTTTAATTCTCTAGAAACATTATGCCTGTTCCTAACAACAGAAAGAACAAATAAATCTGATTGGACTAAAAGGGTTGCATTGTATGTCAGTTGATAATGACGGAACACACAAGGAAAGTCCCTAATCTTTGATTCCTGATTGGTGAGAGTCGTAACTATAACTTGGCAACAAAAACGTGAATTTTGTGCTTATAAACCCTGCTTCTGCCCCTGATTGGGGCTATCAGGAGAAACGAGGCTCCTGAGTCCTTGCCCTGCAGCCCTGATTGATCAGTGACCTGCTTGTGTGGTAATTTATTAAAAATCTTTGGAACCCCTACGTATTGTCTCTTTCCTTGCTTGAGGTGCATAATGCATTGGGTATAATGACACTGCCTTTAAAAAAAGTTCTGAAGACAGAGGAACACTGTGGCCTCACTGGAGGAAATAGAGAAGTCTCCAATAGGGAATAATCTAAAGTAAACTATGTCTTTGGAAAATACTTGTCCCTGGAGAGTCTAATTCAACAGTTCCACTGGGGTGGAGGTGACGGTAGCAAGCATCATTTTAAAAGCCCATGGAGGCTGGAGCAGGGGCTCAGTGGTTAAGAGCATTCGCTGCTCTTATGGCAGAGTACCAGGCTTCCATTCCCAGCTACCACATGGAAACTCACAACCACGTGTAACTCCAGTCCGTGGGACCCAATGCCCTCCTCTGGCCTTTGGGGATACTGCGCACACATGAGTGCATTGACACAGCACATAAATCAACAAGAATGGTTAAAAAGAAAAAAATAATCATTAAAGGCACAATGGTTCCTCGTGATGCTCTGGATAGGCTGAGGACAGAGATCTAAGCACAGATGGCCTGCCCTACATCCAGCTGGCCCCTCCAGAGAGTGTAGGTCAAGGTCCGGGAAACCAGCGGTGTGAACCAGCGGTGTGAAATACAGGCAGTGCAGATGCTGCTCCCCCAAGTCATCATCATGTCTTCCCTTGCACGGCTGATGGAAAGGGTCCTAATTACAACCTGCATATTCCAGCAGAGCCCCCAACATTCCAAGTTTATTCTCAGGAGAATGCTTTGCTTAGCTCTGGTGTTGGGAGGATGGTAATGGCAGTAATGAGGCCATCTTAGATGGGAACAGCTCCCTGATCTCCTAAGAGGTAGACAGTGATTTATATTCTGCTGAGCATACAGGCATGCAGTACATTAGAAGCAGCAGCAGCAGCCACTGGGACAGTGAGAAGACAATTCTAGAAGGGCAAAGCCTTTCAAACCAAAGAACATTAGGAAGTTGAAAAGGCGACTTGACAATCCGATTCCTTTAATTCATTAATGAGTGTGACACTCACGTAAGATCCAATAGTCCTAGGAAAGGTCAACAGAGCAGCAAACCAAGTCCCTCCCGGATAGCCTGAGCACTCACTCCCACAGATCTCAACGTGCTCAGACAGACACATTGCATGGAAGATAACACTTTACAGGGCTAGAGAGATGGCTCAGTGGTTAGGAGAGCTTGCTGCTCTTACAAAGGACCCAAGTTCTATTCAAGGACCAAGACTACTGGGTGGCTCACAAACACCTGTAACTCCAGCTCCAAGGAATCTCACCCCCTTTTATGATCTCCACAGGCATCCACATACATCTTTCTTTCTCTCTTTCTTTCTCTCTTTCTTTCTCTCTCTCTCTCTCTCTCTCTCTCTCTCTCTCTCTCTCTCTCTCTCTCTCACACACACACACACACACTTTTTAAAGTCATAAAATAGTTTGAAAGACAATACTTGAAATCTCTCCAGAATTACGACAACAATTAAAAGCACAACTATTAACTACTGCAGGGTTACACTCGGTGTCTGACACTTGACGCGTGTATACCCGTGAGCTGGCTAGTGTTCTGTCAACTTGAGACCAGCTGGAGTCATGGGGGGGGGGGCTCAAATGAGAAACTATCAGACTGCCTGGGGGGCATTTTCTTGATTAATAATTGATGTGGTGTTCTTGGTCCATTAGTGGGTGGTGCTACCCATGGACAGGTGGTCTTGAGTTGTATGAGAAAGCAGGCAGAGCGACACAGTAAGTGGTGTTCCTCTATGACGTCTGCTTTAGTTTCTGGCTCCAGGTTTCTACCTAGAGATCTTGCCCTGACTTCCGCCACAATGGGAGTGTGACCTGAGAGTACTAAACTGAACAAACCCTCTCCTCTCCAAGTTGTTTTCGGTCACGTTGTTTTATCACAACAACCCAATAAAAACCCTAACTAAGACTACCAATATCTCCGATAGCCCTTCTAAATAGAGCAGGTTCCTGGGTATTGGTGAAATTATTAAGGCCACTCCACGTAATTAAAAAAAAAGATTTATTTAGTGGGTAACTTACAAATGAAGGGATAGGTAGGTCGCGGGGTCTGGGGAAGGTGTATCGCAGTCCAGCGGTGTTCTCTGGAGCTCTGCTCAGTCAACCTCCAGGGTCCAGGAACAGAGAGAGCTGCTCATCCAGATCTCGGGTCTCCCAGTGCCTCCCTTGGCCCCGCCTTGTAGGCATGACAGTTGCTGAAGCCTCAATGAGGGTTGGAACTTCCAGATCAAAGCTGGAATGGCTACCCACTACACCTGGGCTCTAAATCAGGACTTGACTGAGGCCCTGCACTGAAGAGACTAGCAGTCTGTGTCTTTGAAAGCATTCAATGGGTCCTGGGCCAGTTTTGGGGAACCAGTGGCTCATGTACTCATATACAAATTAAATCTCCAGCTCTCTTGACTGCCAGTTAGAGCTCAAATAGCTAAACCATCAATTCAATTCATTCAACTTGCATTTGACTAACATCAAGAAGGCTGAGTTACTGTCTCTGGGAATCAGGAACTAGGATCTATCTGAGGTACAAGGCATCTTTGCACTGTGGTAATGCACAAATAATCATGGACTCCATCTGAGGTATTAGAGAGAATGGATTTTACATGGCAGAAGAAAGAACGAATGGACAGCAATAAGACAAATTACACATGAGTAACTAGTTAATGCAAAGAGATTCTTGTGGTCACTGTTCTATTG